GGCTAGTCGTTCTCATGACATTCGGTAGCGTCTACCAACACTTTCATAGTAGCAATGCCATCACGCGTTTTACTTGATAGCGCATGCTGGACAGATACATCGAATATTTTGAGACGCATTGAACCTGCTTGACTACTGCAAGTCGCAGTGAAGCACTCGTTCACTCTAGTATCTCGCCTCCTGAGCCCTGGCTTCCATCCTTAGATCCCAGGTACATAATGTCGTGGAAAATTTGAAGCCACCCGTCCTCTTCTTTTCTCCACCAGTACTGCACTTTTACCATGAGTGAATCGTCCCTGTCGACGGCAACAACGGGCTCATCCCACAAGTCGACTCTCATCCCGACCCAGCCCTCCGATCTAGCCTTTGCCTTGACGTCCTCGGCCGAAGCAAAGCCAGCGGGGCTGACATGCTCATCAGTGCCGAACTCAAATTCGGTGTCTGTCAATGGTCGTATGGTGTAGTAGCCTTTGGACTTGAGTGCGCCCGTGTCTGCGTCTGAGGGGGAGCTTTTCTTCGGAGCTGTCTCGTGAAGGTATCGCACGATGGTCTCCCTGTCGCGGGCAGCAAAGGAGGGATTAGGTCGACATATCTGGTAGCATGACGGCGAAAAGAAAGCTCCCTTGGCGTCGATATCCTTGGTATGGCGGTAGGAGGCGTAAAGCTCCTTCAGGTGACTGACAAGCGCTGGATCGATCTGAGGAGATGCCATGTATGCGGACGATGATGCCGAAGATCCAGTCAATGTGTCTCACAAAATGACATTAGAAGCAACGGTTGCTCAGTTGGGAGCAGGGCCGTAGTTGCACGCAACCCATTGGGATGCGATCATGGTGGACCAGACTGTGTCAGCTTTTAGCGTGGTATCAGCACACCATGAGATGCATACTCGGCTGCCTGCCATAAGCCAAGGTCAATAGGTGAAGGTCCTCATTGCAGAAATGTCATCAGGTAAAGGGAATATGAGCGCTGGTTGCGCTCAGGATTTCAGATATCGTGCAACTTGCCCTCGCCATCTTCAGACCGGCCGCAACCCGACGCCGACCCGGAGCAGCAAAGACGGCATTTTGACGTGGCGTTCCTGTCTTGGATGTGGCACTCCGGACTTGATATGGGGGAACTCCGTCTCTCGTCCTGTCGAGAACTCATAAAAGCACATAGGGGACGGGAAGCCGATCTCAATGAGTGGTGTATCATTACTATGGTTCTATGTTTTCGCCCGCGAACGCAAGTGCGTGTTTTGGTATCGAGTATCCACAGCGTCAATCCTTTCTTCGTCCCGACCGGCGTCTCTAAACGTTTTCTTACGGCCTCAGACCCGTCACCAATCATGGTCCATCTTTGATATCCTTTGGCTCAATGCCACAAGCCGGATGAGCGGCATAAATGGCCACCGTACGGAGCCGAAGGTCCATGTTCGTAGGCCGAAATGTCCGTCTCCGGAACGGCTCTCCCCGTTAAACTTTCGCCTCCCCAATGAACCAAACTCAATTATACAACCTTCAACTTAAGTCCAACCTGTACCGTACGCGCAGCGATGAACACGCCCACAGCCGCGAGCATAGCAAACCCGCAGAACAGCTGCAGGCCGAGGAAGTTGCCCCCCTGCGACGCGACAATTGCGCCGGCAATGGGGCTACCCGTCAACGCGCCAAAGGACTGCACGGCAAATGCGGTTCCGGTCCGGATGCCGATCTGTCTGATATCAGAGATTTGGGCAATCAGCGCAGGTGCCAGTGAGATGAAGCCGCCCGACGAGAAGCCGAAGATGACAAGGAAGACGATGATGGCGGCGTTGCTCTTGCCTGGAATCCAGAGCGCGAGGCAGAAGAGGGCGCTGATGAAGGTGATGAGGATCATGACGTTGTAGCGGCCCATCTTGTCGGCGACGATGCCCGGGATGATGCGGCCGAGGATGCTGACGGCGTTCATGATCGGGAGCAGGTAGATCACCAAGTTCTCGTCCATGCCCTGCGCCCGCGCCTGCAGGATGACAAAGTTGAACGGCAGGAACATGCCCCAGAAGAAGAGGAACAGGCCAAAGATGGTGATGGCGAAGGCGGGCTGGCGGAAGCCGTCGAGGTACTCTTGCAGGACGAAGGGCCGCGGCCTGGGCGGCAGGCGCGACTTGACCGTCAAGCACGCGATGCTCAGCAGGAAGAGGAACAGGAAGGCGACGGTGCGGATGGCCCATGGGAAGCCGACCTGCGGGATCATCTTGGACATCATGATGGGCAGGATGACTCCGCCGAGGGAGGACCCCGAGACCATGATGCCTAGGGCGGCACCCCTGCGGCGGAAGAACCACGACGTGACGGAGGCCATGCAGGCGTTGAAGGCGGCGCTGGATCCGATGGAAGATACCAGACTTTGGGCGAGGATGAACTGGTAGTACTGCGTCGACAGCGAGGTCATCATCAGGCCGAAGACGTACACGATCGTGCCGCCGTAGAGGAGGTATTTCGGGCCGTATGAGTCGTACAAGCGACCGAACTACGACAAGTCAGCGACGTCACTTCGATCGGAAAATGGCAAACCTACCAGAGCGCCCATGAATGTCATCGTCCACACCTGCAAACTCGTAATCCACGACACCGTCGAAGAAGGATACTCCCTCAACGGGCCCTCCAGGTAATACGCCTGGAAGACGCCAACGCAGTTAATCAGCCCGAACGTGCAGAACAGCGCGCACCAACCGCCAAAGACGACCAGCCAGGCTTGCGTGCCGCCGTCCGGGAAGTCAGCCGGGTTAAAGCCCGGCGCGGCGGCTGCGGGTGGCGCCGCGGGTGCGTCGCCGTCTTTCTTGGCATCCTGGCCGTCGGCGGCCGGCGACGGTGACGCCAAGCCCCCCTTCTCGATGTCGGCCTCGGCGACGTTGGCGGGCTCCGGGTAGATGTTTGCCTCGGTCTCGCGCTGCTGGGAGGGGATGCGCTCCATTGATGGATGGCGGGTGGAGGACCCGTAGGGCGAGCGGTCCCCCGTCTCCTCCGTCTTTTCTGGATCCGTCCTTGCGGGGGCTTGTGGCTTCTCCATCACTGTCGAGGAGTTGGACGACGTCGAGAGGGCGTCGTTGGAGCGCATTGCTGCGGTGGGAGTTGGTGTTGGAATTGACCTTTCTCTCAGCGATTGATGTGTTGTTCCCTTGGTTCAGTCCTGTTATTAGTTGAGGGGAAGCCTCTCGAGTGAGAGATCTCAATGCACCCCTTTTGTTGATCGTCCCAGGCGAAAAATTCTCGAACCAAAGAACCCTGCTGGCCGATGAGATGTGGTGGGGCTGGGTGGCTGTCTGTCGCGTTTCTCTCGTGGTGGCGAGCTTGTCTCGAAGGATGGACAAGATCGGATGGCAGCTCGACGAACTTTGTATCTTCTGAAGAAGCCTTCAGGCGACGGATTCAGACGATGGCGGATACACAACGCCCGTTTGTCATGATGCGGCTCAGCTGGCAGGATGGGCAAGATTAATAATTGGAGAGCCAGGCAGACGAGGAAGAGACACGGCAAATTCGACACTCCAGGCTCGCGTTCTTCTCGCTCTTTACCATGGCATTCTTGCTAGACTCGGAGAAAAAGCAGCACCAGTGTGTGCGGAAACGCAGTAGGCTGCCGCCAGCTTTCCTTCTGACAGCCCTCTGACAGACCCATGCTCGGGTTTAGACGCCATGCTCTTCTTGATCGACGCAATTCTGGGTCACCCCCTCTGAGATTCTGGGGACTCGGGGAAGAGGGGGTTGGGTTGGGCTCCACGCCGCCCGGGGTTAAACAGCTTCGGCCGTTTGATAGCTCTTTACCGGGTTGGGTATCTGTAGCTAGGTCGTTCAAGATCCGTTGTTCTTGACCGGCCGAAGTACGTAAATTGCCGGGCAAGCGACGAGTAATTGCGCTGCTAATGCTGCTAGTTACTGTGAAAGATCTGTCGGGTTGATGTCCGCGCATTCTTTCGCTCCCTTGCCTGCAGAGAGCGACCATGGAAGAAGCAGTCTGGTCTTCCACACAATAGTGGACGTCGGAGATCGTGTCACTCTTTTCTTCTTCTTTTTCCGAAGAGACTAATGCGACAAAGCTACTCGCAAAAGGAATCAAACGGTGCAGCTTAGTGCTGAGAAAGTCGGTCAGCGGCCCTCAATTGCCACGAGAACCATTTATTGCGTTTTCATTTTTTTCTTCAGGCGGCATTGTGCTGTTGGTGATGCGTAAGATGGCTGCACAGTTGGTGCGCAAGTTAAATCTCAGCGCCCCCAGATTGAGCTTCCAGAGAGTCGCCGTGCATCAGATTGTGAGTCCCATAATCTGGTTCTCCAGCGCTTGAAAAGACCGAGACGGCTGTGAGATGATGAGATCTGACGCCGGGGGGAACATCCTGGCCCGGAGCTGGCTTCCGATGTGGGGGGCGCGGATGGTCCCTTTGGCTCGGCGTTGAGACGAAAACGCGAGGCCCGAACATCTGGAATTGAAATGGCACGTTGAACCTCTTCCAATCACTGGGCGCAAACGGTTGCAAAGGGTGTGCTCGGCTTTCGGTTCGGAAATCGAGTCAGTGTTTTCAGGTACGCTAAACAATTAGAATGTACGTAGATATTGACACCAGTCCCAGCGACTTTGGCATCTGTGCATAGTGAAGCCACCACGTGGAATAGACGTGCGCGCCGTCAACCAAGCTTCTTTTGATGGAACGCCAATGCGTCTGGGCTTATTTGCTGGAGATTGGGCCCTTATCAGTCGGAGAACGAGACACATGAGATCTCCGAGATCCAATCTCACTCACGTCGAAATGCATCCGTAACTATGTCCGCATACCCGTGGCTGACATATCTGATCCGGCCGGGCACAGGCTCGTCTCACGCGCCCGCTATTGAGCCGCGTCTCTCCTGGTGGTCAAGTTTGATCTGTTGTATTACACAGTATATGTACATTTGTCAGCCTTATGGCTGCGTGGTGTGATTGTGAACAATCCTTTGCGGCGTAGCGACGCCTTGCTCTTTAACTCCGGCTTCGTAGTGATTCTACCTCACAAACTCCTTCAGATCCTTGGCGTCCTCAAAGTTGACCTTGCCATCGCGGCTGATGTTGGCGACATGGATGGCAGAGGGGCCCTGCTCAACTGAGGCGGGCGGCTTGGCCTCGGCTTTGGGCTTCGTGGTGAGCTCAACCGCCTCAGCAGCAACGCCAGCAGGCGCGTCCGCGATCTCGTTGACTTCCTGGTTGGTGAGAGAGTCAGCGACTCTGACGCCTCTGCTGGACATCAGGATGGTGGTAGGTCCGCGGAATTGGAGGAACAGGCGGTCGCCCCAGATGGTGCGACGCAGCGTTGTTCGCAAAGAGAAGAGCCAGCGCGCGAGGGTCTTGTAGGTGCTGGTGTCTCGCATGTTCTTGATGAACTCGGTCTCGGGAAGGAGGCCAGTGATGCTTGGGACCTGGAAGCGCAGAATATTGGACTTGAGGCGGAAGGGGAGAGGGAGGTTCCGAGAAACTGAATATGCGACCACGTGGGACGGGTGGGCAACGAACTCTTCACCCTCGGAAAGGTTGAGCTCGTAGATCTGGCCCGGAGACGACAGCGCTGCCAGGCCACGGCCGGTAAGGTGGGTGTTTCCCCAGTGGGCGACGGAGAGACCACGGGCGATGCGGGGAGATACGGAAAGAGTGTGTCCTGTCCATGCGAGGAGCGCATTGCGCTGGGTGATCATGTAGTCGGTCGTGCCATCGAGGTGTAGGACCGAAAACGTTGTGGTTGGCGACTTTGTGGAAATGAGAGCCGTGAGAGGCGTCGAGGAGGAAATGCGCTGATAGAGGAAAGGAACGCCGAGGAAGGCTCGTGTGAAGGGGGAAAGAATCGAGAGTGTGGATTGGGCCTGTACGGAAGGTCAGCACTATCGATGGTGTTCGTCGTAGTATGTTCCCTCACATTCTCAGCCTTGCCCGCGACGGCAACGAGAGTGCCTCTCCTCGTGTATAGCTGTTGCGAGGCAGACAGGGTGACGGAGAGGAGGGAATAGGGCGAGCCGAGGACCTCGAAGCGGGCATCTGCGTATGATCATATTAGCATAGAGCCCCACGATAGTCCTTCAGGGTAATCGCATACCGGCCGAGTCCCTCAGGGCGGTGCCTCGAGCTCCGAAAACATCCCCACCAACCTTTGGAGCTTCAGTCGTCGGCGCCGCACTGATTTGGATGCTCCTGCACTGCCGGCAGACGTAGGAGGGCGTCTGTCCCGGTCGCGCACCGCGAGTTGTCCTCAACAGGGACAATTGGGCACGCATGGCGGACATTTGGGGGTGATGACGTCGGTCGTTGGATCGTGACCTCGAAGCTCCAGACCAGCAGCTCCCGGCGGCTCGATCACGAATTGAAGATGCAACGGCAAAAAATCGGAGCGGAGCTGGCGGGGGCCGGGAGAACCTGGCTTCCGGGCCGAGACTCTTGAGGTGGCGGGGGGAACAGAAGGTGGGAAGGTCCAGGACCTGACCCGTGCCTGCCTACCTTCCCAGTGCTTAGGTAAGACCGCATCAGGTACGTCTCTTTTCACCGCTCACCTTCGCAAACGGCTTAGCGCCATCACCCCGGCGACGACTTATGACGCGGGCCTGTTGACAAGGGTCTCGGACCCTCACTTTTGCATATTCCTTGCACAACACTGAATCCGTCGAATCCACGCCTGAACCCTTCCAACTTGGAAACCTTAGGCAACCTCGAAATCGTCAAATCTCTTTCTCATCAAACCAATTTCCCGCCTTCGCGTCCCCTCGAAACCGACACGACGGCGACGACACGCTTCGCTCTGCGTCTCTGTCTCTCCTCCGTTCCTCACCTGCGTGTCCAGGCAGCTTGCTACCTCCTCCCAAGTAATCCTGGACTGACTGTGGCCCACGATGTCGGTCCGTGTGGTCGCCCGCATTCGCCCTCTCCTCGAGAAGGAGCTGGACAAGGACACAATCGTCCGGGCTGATAGCTCCGAGGAGGGCAAGCACGCCACGCTCGTCAAGATCCCAAACCCCAAGAACGAGACCGAAGAGTTCTCCTTCGCGTTCCAAAGTGTTTACGACCAGGCTACGACGCAGGAGGAGCTCTTCACCGCCGAGGGTACGCGATTACACGCCAATTTCGAGACAACGCGTTGCATCTTGTACTAACTTCACCAGTCGCGCCCCACCTCAAGGCGCTCTTCCAAGGCCTCGATGTCACCATTTTCGCATACGGAGTCACGGGAACCGGAAAGACGCACACCATGCGCGGCGGCTTGAAGCTGGCCGACCGAGGCGTCATCCCCAGATTGCTGAGCGGAGTCTACCGACGCGGCAAGAAGATCGCCAAGGACTCGGGAGGCAACACCACGGTCGACGTTGCCCTGTCCTACTACGAAATCTACAACGACAAGGTCTTTGACTTGTTCGAACCCCCAGAGAAGCGCAGCGCTTCAGGTCTCCCTCTCCGCGAGAAGGATGGAAAGACCCAGGTCGTGGGTCTTTCAGAACGGGCATGCGAGGACCTCCAAGACTTCTCGAAGCTCTACATCGAAGCGAACAACAACCGCGTCACCGCCGCCACGAAGCTCAATGCTCACAGCAGTCGAAGCCACGCTATTTTGAGAGTGAAGGTTACGCAGACGACGGGAGACACCATCCGCGAGAGCACCGCATCGGCCATTGATTTGGCTGGCTCAGAGGATAACCGCCGGACGGACAACGGCAAGGAGAGACTTATCGAGTCTGCTGCCATCAACAAGAGTCTTTTCGTCCTGTCTCAGTGTATCGATGCCATTGGCCGTGGGGATAAGCGAATCCCATACCGCGAGTCCAAGATGACTCGTATTCTCAGCCTCGGCCAGAACAACGGCATCACCATCATGATTCTCAACCTCGCACCCATCCGCAGCTACCACCTCGATACCCTGAGCAGTTTGAACGTCAGCTCTAGAGCCAAGCGAATCGAGGTCCGCGAGATCGAGAACGAAGTCGTCTTCAAGCAGGTGCCCCGCACGAACTCCGCCAACTCCACACTTGCACACCGCCAACCTCTCCGCCCGCTGGCGAACGTTCACAATATCCACAGTGGTACGATCGCTGCCAAGGAGAAGGAGAAGAAGGAGGACGTTACCCGCCCAGTAAAGGCCTTCAACGTGTTCGCCGATCGTAACAAGCCGGCTGCCCCCACCCGCCCTACTGCAAACACTACCCAAATCCGCAAGCCGGCCATCGTTGTGGAGAAGGAGGCGGCGCCTAAGGTCTCGAAGCTGGCTCGTCCTGCTTCCTCGGCCCAACCAGCTCAGCAGAAGCTGTCAATCTCTGCAGAGCAGCTGGAGGCCCTTGTAGAGAAAAAGGTTAGCGAGATCCTTAAGTCTAGGGAAAACAAGGAGATCGAGCCTGCGCCGGCAGCTGCTCACCCCGATATCAACGAAGCGGTGCAGCGTCGCCTGGAGGCATTGGAGCGCCGAATTGAGAACGAGGAGCGTGACCGAGATGACAGCCGGTCTGAAGGACTCCGCTATCTGCTGGCTGCCAGACAAGCGAAGGAACACGGTGACGATGTGGGGGCGCTCAAGATGTACGAGCTTGCCCTCCCATTCTTCCCAGGACAGGCGAAGCTGTTGGGAAAGATTGAAAAGTTGAGGTCAAAGATTGGTAACAGCCTCGCTATCGAGGTGGGCATGCCCTCTCCTAGCAAGCGTGACAGACACGAGAAGAAGCGCAGACGGGTCGCGTACGACAGCGACGACGAGTTCCAGCACGCTGAGGCCGACGAGGATATGAGCTTCGTCGATGTCGCCGCCAAGTCGAAGAGCCGAAAGGCCAAGTCGACAAAGCCTGCCACCAGGCTGCCTCTCCCCGAGCCCAGCGGACCCGCGTCCCCGCAGACGCAGTCCTTGTTGAACATTGTCAACTCCCGCGACCTCGCACAGATCAAGAGCCTCCACGGCTTCGGATCCAAGAAGGCACAGGACCTGGTTGACTACCTCGAGGAGATGCCGGAAGAGCAGGGCGGGAACATTGAGTCCCTGGCACAGCTGAGGACCATCCCTGGAATGGGTGGCCGCACCGTTGATCGCGCGTATGATGGTATGGTCGGTGTCGCTGTTTAGAGCGACTTATATCCCATCCTTGCATTGAAACGCCGGTGGCTTTCACAGGGGCATTGGCATTGGCATTGGCATGGTGTTTTTGGAGTTTTCAGCATGCAGGCCGCGGTGGCCTTGAAAGATAGGTTGCTTTTAGACTGTTGCATATTTGTGCGAGCACTGCTTCGAATCACAGCTTCAGGTTGGTCTGGTTTGACCATAATAGAATTACTCCGTTTTGCTGCATCCTGTCATCAATGAGTTTGATCCTCTAAGTCTTTATGTCTCGCCCGTTGGCCCCTGCCGCGGCCTTCCAGTCCATCGGTCCTCAACGACTTCGCTCGTCGACTCTGATATGGTTCTCTTGTTGATTGGAGCAGCGTAGATGCTCTGAGCACAGCCGGCAAAGATGGGTAATGAACTACTATGAGATCAGTCCCAAGATGGACGGGGAGATGAGACCAGAGGCACGTCTCGCGTGCCTCCAAATGAACGAGCACTTCAGGACTCAACAATGGAAGGCGGAAAGAAAAGCTGCATGTTGCGGAGGAAGACCCAGCATGCCAACGCATGCGCCATGCTCTCGTCCATCCTACACAGCAAACTCCATCGGCCTAGGCCCCGTGTGACCCCCGAACAACTGCATAACCCAACCTTTGAATCGCTCCCAGACAGCACAAACCTTGCCCCAAAGAAAGGATAGCGCTCCCTTCAGCCAGTCCATAAGACTCTCCCATGGTACGAAATAGACAGCCGCCGCGGCAGTGACTCCCATGACAACGGCCGGCCCTGCTGCGGTGATGACAGTGGCAGCTTTGGCACCGGCCGCGCCGATCTCCAGGGCATGGAAACCAAAGGCGTACTTGACATAGACACCGCCCACTGCTGCGTTCGCAGCGATCTTGATCTTCACAGTCCCGACGGCGAGACCGACGATTGCTGCGACGACCCCTTTGATGTCATCCCAGCGACTCTTACCGGATAGTGCGTCGAAATGCTGACGTAGCTCGGCCTGTTCCGACTCGGTGAACTGGTTTCGACATCTTGCCCAGTTGGGCATGTTGACAATCTCAGCGACCCTAATGCGGACGCCCCTTGCGTAGCCTAGCAGGAGGGTATGACGTTTGTGTCGATGTGCTTGCCACTTATCCAGGCGGACGCTGTTGTAGGTAGACGAGCCATCGATGTACAGCTTCCCCTTGCTGCCATGCGCCGCGCAACGAAGAACTTTGAGCTGCCTGAAGTGCGATGGGACATGGAACCAAATCTCATCCACATCAGGGCTAACCAGAAGATTGAGAATGTGTTGCTTAGATGTGGTCTTCATCGCCGCGATGGTGTCTTGGAGCCCTTGGGCAGTTGTGAAGAGCATTGGAGGGGCTTGAATGACTGGTCAGCAGAGTCGTCGGCAGGGTAGGGTGATGCTAAGATACACACGTTTACATCGGATGAATCCAAGAAGCTTTGGACCTTCTGCGCACACCTTCTCCAGCTCATCCAAGCTTTGCTCCCGCACGACACCGATCGTTAGGCTCTCATCGCTCCTCTCCTTCACGACGACACCAGCGACAGCGCTGACCTCTGTCTTGATAGACTTGTGGGACAGTGTACTAGAGGATGTGATATCGGAAAATCTGCTTGACACCATTGTGGAAAGGATTGAACAATGGTAGGAATCGAGTATCGATGGAAGTGCTTATAGACGAGGTCTTCAGAAGGAGGCAGGTTGTCAGAGATGTTGTGGCAGGTAAACTTTCAGTTTCCGAGATTTCGACAAGATCGATTGGGCCACGAGAAGGCACGCAAGAGTCAGAGAATTGCAGACTCTTTCAAAGATGGAAAGTAAGATTGAAAGCGACCTGAAGAAGGAAGAATCCTGACAGCTATTGGGGGCTTCAGGCAGTGTTTTATAAGTTTGAGACCACTCTATCCACGAGCTCATGTAAAGCGTAGCTAGCAGACGACAGAGCACAAGTTCGCGGTGACTTTTCGAGATGTCTGTATTACCATGTCGTCAGTACGTGACAATATGCAAGGACATTTTAACATCCAATAGATGGTAAGCCTGCCTAGCCTGTTATGTACGATGCTGGGGATCAGCCATGCCGCTCATGCACCGCTCATGCATACCCTACCTAAGCAGAAGCCAACCAACATCCGGGAGTTTGAGTCGCACTACTGCTTGAACACTAGCCAAACAAAATGAAGGTTCTCAACCGTAAGTGTCATCTGATTTGCTCTTGTTCCAAGTGATTATCGGTCTCACAAGGACATGAAGACGGGCGGGGTACCCCGTTCGTGTGCGACCAAGCCCTGGCGCAGGACGTGAGGTGTTCGCTGAGAATGCAAAAACATCTTCTGCGTCTTGATATTACTCAGGCCTGTCATATGAAATCTGCCCTCTATATTTCACCTACAATTGACCCTATGTCTTTCGTTCCGGGCTCTATTACTCACAGCAAGTCACCTTCCCGTGCGCAATGGGAAGAGATGAAACCAAAGATCACCGAAATATGGCTGCATAGAGCGTGCACTAGCCAGAACCTTGTTGAGATACTGCGTCGTGAGTATGGATTCATGGCCACGTATGTGACGAGATATTGGTTTCAAGCCGAACTAGACCGATCTGACTATACCACGCAGGCCCAAAACGTGCGCGACTCATCTCAAGCGATGGGGTCTGACTACGTACAGGAGACGAGCAGCTTCACCAGGATCAGAGCAGCCATCGCGGCCTACGAGGAAACGAAATGGCCAGCCATTGATGCGAGGGGATGAGCCGCGGCCACGCAGAACCATTCTTCCCAATCCAAGCACAAACAAAATGCTTAGGCCTGCATCCTACCGATCACTGGAACTGATGCAATACTGCATTGATCACTTCATTGAAGCAGTCTTCGGAAAAGCAGCTCAGAACTTCTACTTTCTCGACTTGATGCGGTCAAAAGGAAATGGTGGCCTCAACTGGGAACGCATAGGTGATTTTTACTGCACGGCCGAGAGAAACTTTCGTGATCAAAGGTTCAGGTTTTGTGCCGGGCGTAAGAAACATTCTCAGGGCAGCCTGAAGGTATTGAGGAACTCGAGGGGTCTTGACCAGGCTCGTTGTCAGGTGCGGCTTCTATTTCAGACGGAGCATCATGGGTATTCAAGGGCCCTTGCAAAAGTAACGAACCCATCAGCATTGCATCGACTTAAACAAGCCATGGTCCCTCCATCGATAGACGTTCAGCGTACCAGACATCGCATTTTCATTGTCAATTTCTGGCGCCTGTGTCATCGGCTTCTCAGGAACGATCTGGCATGGCTACAGTACGATTACTCTTATGTTCAAGACTTCCTCTTGGAGTTGGAAATCGTCGCTGTTAAGGAATATGGTCCATATCACCCGCTATGTAAGCTGTTGGTGGCGCTTGTCGAGCTGCTGGGAGAGGTGTCAAAGGCGGATATGCTGGAGGTTCTGAGCCTCGGTGTTTCTCGAACTATTCAGTCCATGGCGCCAGGTATTACTTCGGGGCAGAAGCGATCTCTTGTCTTTCGCCGGTGGAGGGCCGATATGAGACAGACTTGATGAATATGTAACATGTGGCATATCTTTATAAGGTACCTTATCTATGCTGGTTATGGACAGCGGGAGATCTCTTGAGTGTGCTTGAAGGAAAAGATTAAGAGGGGTCTTGACCACGCTATTATGCTCGGTTCACCATCTTTTAGTGGGAACACCAAGACAGGTTGAACAGCATTTATCTCATAGATGTTCAAGGGCACATGACCTCCATATGGACGTAGAAAGTATTGTTCGACAGTGACGTGAGATAATCACATCATCCATCCCACCGGGCTCCCGCCATCTTTTGCAGGGGAATCTTGGGAGCACCCACAAGATGAGCAATTTTTGATGTGTCTATTGTCAAGAGCAAGCTCATTCGGGCCGATCCTCGCCTATTGAAAGTCTTGGGGTTGGTCTTTTCAATCACCGACTACACTGACTGTGGGGCCGATACGATGTCGGCCACCGGCCCTCCCCCGGTCAAACGCCGAGACCCATATCACAGCGTGGCGGTGGCTTGATCGGTGCGGGAGTTCAGCTTCCGCATTATCAAGATAGCACAATCCAAATCGGCCTCAACTCCAACATCACGAGGTTGTTGCATAGCACAACTACGATGATAGAAAAAAAAGACTCAGCTGTGAAATGAGCCCACTCACCATACACCGAGATGCATGCACTTACGTATTGTGATCACATTCGCCATGATTCAAGTCCCTTGCCCTCGAGTCTGTGAGATCATGTTCGGCATCGACACTCGGCTAGGGAAAACCAGTTTTGAAGAGACTGACTCTGTGTGAACAGACATTAGATATTTAAGTCATCCATGGCCATACTATACATGATTGTTTGAAGATAGACCCAAGCCAAAGAAGCTCCCCCGTCTATCACCAGCTCAGCTACCCGGGCTACTGCAATCGCGATGTTGTCGAAGCGCCTTCTCGTGGCTCTCGCAGCCTTTCAGGGCATCTCTGCCGCTCCTACGGTCAGCAACAGCACGGTCGACCGGGCAAACCTGACGGTCGCTCTCGTTCGCACTCCTCCGCCCAATTGGCCGTTGCCACTCACGAATTACGACTTGACTGGCGTGACATTCAACATCAGCGAGGTTGTCGACGCAGGTATCAAGTTGATTAACAAGGCTAAGAACGCCGGCTCAGACCTCATTGTCTTCCCCGAACTATGGTTCCCTGGGTAAAATTCCCCCGGAAATCCAGTAGCTTCTTCCGCATGTCTGACGGGTGCAATGACCAGATTCCCCAAGGGTTCCTCAAGCAGCCACTACAACTTCACCCGAGATCACCTGCCGTCGTATATCGATAACGCCATCGTCGTCGGCGATGCTCAGTGGAGCCGCCTCGTAGCTGCAGTGCAAGAGGCCGGCATCTTCGCCAACATCAACTTTGCTGAGAGAGACGGTGATTTCATGTACATGTCTCAATCCCTGCTTGGCCCTGAAGGCGACGTCTTGCACCACCGTCGCAAGCTTCGTCCGTCTGGAGCCGAGCGCTACATGTTCAGTGATGGTACCACCGACGGTCTTAAGGTCGTGCAGACTGACTACGGTCGCTGGGGAATGTTGGAATGCGGAGAGTAAGTCTTGTCAACTGAGAACGCACCCACCGGCGACGAGTGATTAGCTGATATTGGTTCGCAGACACCTGTACCCTAGCATGACCTTCAACATGTACGTCCAACGCGAGCATGTCCACCTGGCGCCGTTCCCATACCTCACCGGCGTCGACGACGAGACTTCTCTATGGTGGGAGAATGAGTGGATCAACACCGGAACCGTGGCAGTCTACTCCGTGCTGAGCGGCGCATACTCTCTCACTCCCTCGGTTGGCGCTTCCTTTGTCACCGACCCCCTCGGAAACCGAGTGGCGTATGTTGCTGCCAATGTGAGCTTTGAGGAGGTTCCCATCCTCTACTACAGCTTCAACACGACTAGCTTCAACAACTCGGCCACGTATGACATCAATGGCCAGGCTTCGTGGGGAACGCTGAGTCAGATGGTCGACAGCTTCCCGGAGTACGTGCCAAAGGTTGAGGGAGAATTTGTGAAGCACAAGACGAACTCGATTGCTTGGCTCAAGACTGGAGAATTGGTCATCCCCGAAGGCGCATAAGTCATGTGAAGGACACATTAGTCTAAAAGGCATGGCAACAGATCTTGGAAAATATTCGAAGCAAGCCTCACAGGCTGGCGTACATGTAGCAAAAAGTCTCTAGACTAGCTTCCGCTTGTATCAAAATCTTGACCCTCGTACAGCCATCCAAGATCTGGCAAGCTGGATAAACTTCCAAAAGCCCCTAATAGCTCTGATACAGATGACATCTCGCCGGTTTGCCATACATGCCCATTGAAGGGAGTGGCATCTTGGCCATCATAGACCCCAACACCCGTCTGTGCTGGGTCATTGAGTCGACTAGAATAGCTCGAATCTTGTCGTGGTGATTCCCTTTCCTGCGCAGATGGCTCAACAGGAGCTGCAAATGCCATTGGAAGAGCACCTACTGCTCCCCATTTTTGAGCCAGCACGCGCACCACACGGATGCACTTATTAACGCGCGTTGGCCATGTCTCTCGCAGTTCATTCATAAGTCCCATCCCTGTCCGTAACCAACGCGAGCTCTGTCTTCTTAAAGTTGTATCACTACTGGTGGCGTTCATCAGATGAACAAGAATCGCGCTCAAAAGATGGTGCACTATGATAGGATGTGCCATCGTGAAGGTGTACCTGTCCCGATACAGCCGACACAAACGTATTGTCTCTGACGCTGCGCTTGTGATAGATCGTAGTACGAGTAGTGAACTATTTGATTCGGCTTCGTTGATACCGGGCGTGTCCGAGGAAGTGAAGGATCGCAGGAACGACGATATGATGATCATAATTGCCATATGATACTGCAAGTGGAAGAAAACGATTGGTTTCGGGGCGTCATTGTTCATGTGTAGTCGGTGTGGTTTCGAGCGGAAGAAGGTGTTGAGCTGCTCCAACGTCGATACGAGAAGCCTAATTTGCTGTGCCATAGCAAGCTTCTCAAAGGATGGGGCGAATCTAATGTCGAACTTGTCAGAATCCAATGATAGTGCCTAGCGGCGATCATGTCACTTACATCTGATCCATGGCTTCAGCGTGGGTGTACCATAGCTGACTTTGCCATGCGAAGGAGAGCTCTGCCAAGTCTGCGGTTTCAGCGTTCAACGTTGTATGGAATTCGGGCACATTGACGCGCCGCCACGGAAGTGCGCAATTCCTTCCCAAAATAGTGATTGCAGATACGTCGACAAAGTAGAACATCCAGAACGTCCTGATCTCTGGCGACGTAGGCTTCAAAGCTCTCCCAGCACATTCATCCAACGCAAGAACATGTAGTCGTAAGTGAACGCACAAACCCCCAGCCATAGAGATGAACATCCAGCCCAAATGGTCTTTTCCAATGGACAAGGATCTGAAAGACAAGATGCACATTCCCTGAATTACTGAGAGCGTGGGCCGATAGCGACAACAGTCAAAAACGAGCTTTTCTGCGTACTTCGCAAAATCCTCGCCGACCTTGGCCATGTTGGGGTCTCGGCTTGCTAGAAAGGCGGCTCCTGTTGCGAGTATCGCAGTGTGGAGGAAAGTTTCATCGATTCTTTGGTATGGGTATTGATCCAGAAATGAAGGTGATGTGTATGGTGTAAATTGATGCTCTTGGTTGATGTTGTCGAGGAAGACTGATGCGAGTTTCGATAGTAAGTTCGAATCTTGACTGTAGCGGAGGATTTCAGCAGGGGGTGAAATATGGGAGGTTTCCACAGCGTACTCTGCTGCAATCTCATAAGAAAGAGCCGAGTCGCCGTCCTGGGTGATGACTGCGCCGTCGCCCAGGTTCATCCTCCACATCATGACACTTAGCTCTTCTAAAGCCACTGGAGATCTTTCATGGGTAGGAAATGGAGACAGCTCTTCATGATTCCGCAATGTTTCTGCGAGAGATATTGGTCCTTCCAGGCCATCGCTGTGCTCATGCTGCCGATAACTGACAAGGTTCGATTCGAATTCCTGATGTTCATCCGGTATGAGGCCTTTGATGAGTGGCAACGGAGCCGTTTCCGAAGATGGCAAGATACCAAACTGTCTTTCATACTGTCTTACAACAGCGAGGAGAGCTTGCACCTGCTGCTCGAGACCTTTCACATAGTCTTCGTCCCAGTACTTTCTCCTAGATAGGTCCGGTTTAACTCCGCCCAAGACCACCCGGGGTTTGTCTAGCTGCAGGCAACTTACTTCTTCGGACGCTGCTCAACGTACGTGCAAGGTTTGCCTAGCCTAGAACATAGCGAGCACTTCGGTTTGACCCCATCACACTCCGATATCCAATATGTCAACCAACATGATCTCCACTGCTGCATGCTCCCATGCACCCTTCGAGGTGGGGTACTGGTACTAACCTTGCGTTTGCCTGACTTGCACTGCTCACAGGCAAATGCCAACGTCTTACCCTTGGTTCCGGCCATCGTTGCCTAAGTTTGTACATTGGATGTTGAAGTAAATCAGATGGTCAAGCCGTCAACATCATGTCTGGTATCCTGCATTCCGAAGATACTTAGACGTGGAATTGAATTCCGATGACTACCGATGTTGCGGAATAGATAAGATAAGGGAGGCGGAGATTGTCCCGCTCAAAGTTCAAACACCGGAACCCCACGCGCTAGCACCGGAATGTACATGTGAATCTAAGAGGCCCTGGTCAGATCTTATCCGCTACCATTTGATTCTGCCAGACTCTGGAGTCCCAGTTCAGCTCATAAGTTGGCCTGGAAGATCTTGATCTGAATCTGGGCGTACTACTTCCACTAGCTACTGCCAAGCCGTCGCGGCTGGTCTGTGACGCACGAGTGCTGTGACGCCGAAGAGCTGCGCCCGCCAAGAACGAGTCGGACACCGAGGAGGTTTGCTTCGCCGTTGACTCAATTCGCAAAACACATCAGATACTGCCAGATTTGACAGGACCCGAGATTATCTCCGAGCAGTGTTTAAAGGGTATAATTAGGCTTGATTTGAGACCTCTACAGCCTGTGTTCTTGTTGGGCATAACCATACCAACTGTTACGGAGCCATCCGACAAGATGGGATGAAGTTCCAAATGTTTGGATTCGTCCTCATGTGGGTGCTATTAATAGATTCATTCAAGGCTGTTGTGACCTGTGGAAATAATCTCTCATCTCATCATGGGATGATTTGCGGCAGGGTATTACGACGACTGGCCTTTTCCCCCGTCGATGACAATCCAGTCGCAATACATAGTACATGCGGCGAGCTGGTTTCAATTCTTGGTCGAGTCACGGAAGCTTGGACACACCCATCAAAACGACTCGCGGAGAACTCACGATGTCTCAAAGGAAATTTGCGTCTTTATTCGTGCAAAAGCAATTCTGTTTTTATTGGTGCACGCTATGTCATAATTCATCAGCCAGCCATCTAATGACGCGCAACGACTCCATCACGCTTTGGTGTCTCTGGCTCACTTCCCTCAGAGCGTAGTTCCCCATCATCATCATCGGGGAGAATGAACCTCCCGGAGACGGCTCCGAAAATGCATCTGTATCCTGGCTGGCCCCATCCTGGAATTCATAGCTAATTGACCCATGCCTAACCGGGTATCCACCTTGATTCTGTCCCTTCATGTGGTTGATGGCAGGGTTCTCCATCGAAACGGCCACGAAGCGGCTCTCCGTGGACTTGTGTAACCGCTTCATCATTCGTGACAAGAGGAAAACAACAGAGTTGACATCCAAGTCGAAAGAGCTGACAAGGTTGAACTTGTTGAGGTTTCCCCCTGGTGTGCTGTTGAAGAATGGCTGTGCCAGGCCCATGTCGCTGGCGGGACTCGGGCCCTGGCTTTGCCGGGAGCACTGCAAACGTGCTCGCAGAGCTGAGAGCAGCTCGTCGTAAGAGTCCAAAAGAACAAGATAGCAGGTGATGAAAAGAGAAATTGTAATTGCGTGGCTCGGATTTTGCTGAAGCTGAGGGTCCGGCGCCGCGTACGTGGCAGCGGGCGCGTTGAAGCCGGCAGGGTCAGATCCGGCACCCCAAGACGAGAGTGGCGAAGCGGAGCGCCGGCCCTCCACACTGGGTCGGAGCTGCGGGAGGCCCTCCACGATGTCGATGAGGGTCTCGGTCGAGTGGACTGTAGTGTTGATGAGAGCAGGCAGGCTGTCCATATTTTGCGCCTTTGCCATGTGGCGGGCGAAGAGGTGAGACTGAAGCTCCAGCAGGCGTTGAGTCGCAGGCTCCGTGGACTTCGGCTCATGTTCCGGTGATGATGGGAGGGTGTCGCATGCGAATGACTCCGGATGTCCAAAATCACTTGGTTGCTCGCAACTGGGCATCCATGCGTCTTCCGAGCCATTCGGGAGGGATCCGATGGTGGTTGGAGGAGTCAGTGGAAGTCCGTGGTCGGAAATCATTGTGCTGTCCTGATGATCCAAGAAACCCAACGAATCGTGATCCATCCACTCCGTTGCCACCATCTTTGGGTCATTATTTTGCAAGAGGCCAAGCAACGGGTCTTCGAAAGTCTCTGCCCAAGGTGCATCCTCTGCAGGATGACTCTGAATGATACCCAACCCATATTGAAACTCGTTCGTGTCGTTGTTTGGTGTTTGAACCAGTTCGGATTGGCTCGACTGAATAGTTGCGCTGGACATTGTTGAAGAGCGCCGGTAACCGGATGAAGGTTGTGGTTGTGGTGGTGGTACTGTTGCGCTGGTGTTTTCCTGGCCCAATCTCTTCTTCGCTGGTCTACCCATCCTTCTCGGCGGGCTGTAGAAGCAGTCAATCTGGAGGCGTTGACATCTCTCGCACTTGGCAGCTCCAGACTCTCTGGAGCACCGGCTCTTAAGAGCTCGGCAACGATCGCAGGCGCTTCTTTGTGAGAACAGCATGTTGGCGGCAAAGGTTCATGTACCTGCACGACAAATGAGAAGAGACGAATGATGTCAAAAGGATACTAAGTGACAACCAACGAAGCTTATATCTACTTCTTTCTTAGCCGCGAAGACCAGAGGCTTCAAAAATAGTCAACCTTGCCAAGATGCGCCCTAGCCATGCCAAGGACATCCGCGCGTTCGACTCATGTCGGGGTTCTTGCGCGGGGGCGGGGGGCCTTGTCAGATCTAGATGAGATGTCTCGGTAGAACCTGCTCTTCCCTTTTCGGTCAAGCAATCATGCGCATTGTCGATTTCTTATTTTAAGGTTTCCAGGAAACCACTCACGTATGATATGTCGACTCAGCGCCCATTTGCATGTCAAGATGCCGATCCGACTTGGCACACATTGCCTTTACCACTGCTCTGGAAATAAGGCAACCATTGGGCTGGTGACGGGGCTTTCCTGCAGGGCGGAACCGCTCCGTTTAGCCGCTGTGCACCTTTCTCAATACCTCCTAGGCTATGCAACATCGTTATGTCCCCCCAAACCTTCTTTCAATTAGGGTCCACTGCAACAATCGTGAGAAAGCCATCCATGGCTTCCGTGATGGGGCTGACGAATTATCTCGTTTTGCGAGAAAGGCAATTCCAACGTTCCGTGAAGAGCGGCGCACACGGACCTCGGACAAGTACTCAAGACCGTGGTTCGTCAGTTCCGTTCCCAAGACATTTCCAGTCAGTCAGACGTGCATCGTGACAGCTTCGTGAATCTTCTAAAAACAACTACTATGCCAAGAAAACGACTGCCAAGACCAAAGCCTCAGGTGGGGGGATCTATTGACGACGAAGGCCAAGACATTTGATAGTGTCTAGTTTAGAAACAATAAGAGGGCTCAATGGCTGCCCAACGATGCGGTCATACAGAGGATGTCCAAAAAGGTAAACTGGAAAGAGTCGTAGAGTCTTGGCAGGTTTGAGCTCCACGACTCGACATATTGGCCCTGCCACACAGTCTTTTGAATCAATTTGCGCGAATAAATTTAGAGTTCCTATTCGGCCAACTGTGACATATATGTCAACTCTTCAAGGATGGCACTGACTGCTGGAGCCATCCGGCGTGCCGCCGAACGTGCTCGACGGGCACTAGCACCCGCCGCCGCGGGTTTCCCCCGCCGCCGCCGTCTCGATCGGCGGCAACGGCACGTGAATCCTCTTTTCTTGGGGGCTGTGTCTGAGCCTCTCGCGCTAGAACAATTGTCTGGAGCAAGGCTGGAGCTCTTGGCGAAGTGAGTAAATAGATTGAATCAAGAAACACCAAGACGGCGCCGCTTGGCAAAAACGAGGGGGAACCAGCGGAAAATGAAAACCTTGATAGTAACTTGCTCATGGCGCGGGCTAACATCACCCAGACGGAAAAGTGCCCATCCATCCATCCTTCGTCGGCTCTGTGTTGCCTCTCACTATTCGTACACTAGGCGCCAGGCTTTGCCGAACTGGGGGGTAACAAGCCAGTGGGAGGCCCAAACAATCTTCGGCGAATTCCATCTCTGGACAAAAGACAACTCCGAAGCTGCGGGACGACAAGATGAACTCGTAGATCGCGCGAACTCTATCCCACAATACTCGTTTTCGCCTCTTGGGACGCACGTTCCAACGCTTTCCATTTATTTTGCGGGCGCACTGTTGCCTTCTTGAGTCAAGAGCGGGTCGATGAGACCCTGAACACCTGTCGAGACGGTCAAAGCGCATGAGTACTGCCTTCTTGGCTCCCCGCGGGCGGGTTATCTCTCAGATCAGTTTCAGCATGCCTCGCGGGGAGGCTGTCGGGCTGGACCTGACTTGGTGAACGAACCACTATTCAGATAAACAGACTGACGGGCAGAAAAGCCACCTGACTCCATCAAGGCGATGGCGGTGCTCAGCCTCTGCCGAGTGCTTATGTTCGGTCTTGGCACGCCGTTCATTATATCTGAAAAGACTGAGATGAGGATGGGCAGTAGAATCGACTGGCCGCTTTTCCGAGAGGAAAGCAAAGTCTTTGTCAAGCTTTCCGGATTTGCAAGAGCTCAAAGTCTAACGGCCGTCGCTCGTAGATCAAAGGCATCGCCGAAGACGAACAGTGGATCGCCTCGGAGGAATGGCCCCCGGTGATCCCAGCGTCCGGCCGCTCCGAGAACGAACGATTTGGGGGTTGGAGAAGATGGCAACCGTTCGACAGCTAGGGGCTGGCTGTACAGTAGCTTTGGCAGATCAGAGGGCTGAAACGCGTCAACTGTTCTGTTGGGACGTTCCAATCTTTGTGTACAGTGTACTACGTAGGTGCCACGTTGCGTGACCATAGGCACATGCCTAACTAGAGCGAGGTAGGCAACTCTGAGCCCATCATCGCCTGTTGAGATTCCCCAGCGGCCTGCTTTCCTCCCCGCGCCATGCCGTCGGTAGCCACCCACTTTCCGGCGCATGATAGAATTTCATGTGCCACGAGAAAGAGTCAGTCTTCGCAGTTGAGCAGCTCTTGAAGTGTGGCTCGTCTAGTTGTTGACAACTTGAGTTGCGAGTTGTTGACGCGTCATGTGTCTTTGAATCAGTTCCTTCGTGCACAATTCCTTCTTTGGACGAGTCTGTAGCTGAAGCCACATCGCAACGCGTACACTGAGCGCACGGTTGCCCACCTCCACCATCCGACCATCACTCCTGATGCCTCGCTTAGCAGTGAAGGTCCACTTTCAACCGCTGAATCCGGACTCCAGGATTCGGAGTCAACTCTAAATACTGGACATTCAACCATCGTGATTGCTGTTCGGATCTTAGGTAACATGTATGGACTTCGCTCGTTCGCTCGGTGAGCTATCGGTGATTACCTGCTTTAGATGGAACCTTTGCACCGAGGTTGTTCAGTAATAGAATGACTAAGGTATGGCTATCTCGCTAACAGTAATTATTCTCAATCGGTCGAAAAACCTAAAGCTCTTCTTTTATGATGAGCTCGAGTCAGGTTTCGTAGGTTTCTTATTGGGTCTAAGATCCTTCCATCCCATCCCCCATGCAAAACAGAATGACGCGATCGCGAGTCCTAGCGATAGGAAAAACTCCTTGTCGATGCTGGATACGTAGGCCATCAACACTCCTGGCAGTGCAACTTGAGCAACAACTTTGCGGAACCCAGTTGCGCCCGCTCCAATTACCAAGTCAGGGTCGACGTCCGGGGCGAACACGGGGAGGTCTGCTTTCAGAGCGCCAACGAAGATGGCGTTGCCCAATGCCAAGGCAATGGCCGAACCCATGAATTGAGAGAATGTCACGAAAGACATTCCTTGGGCAATCTGCTCCGGAGGCAAATTGGCTTGTATGGCGATGCTTGGCTAGAGAACCCAGTTGTCAGTTTGCCTTTCTAATATCCAATGCTCAGCTGAAACATTGCAACTTACAATTTGCAACACGACACCACGACCAGCTCCGGTAAGAATCTGGAACCCTACCCATTGCGCAATCGGTGTAGTTGGTGTCAATGTTGTGAAGAGCCCACTGGCAACGATTGTTACTGCGGTGCCTCCGATAGCCCATGGAAGGTAATATCCGAGCTTGCCCACTAATAAGAAAGTCAGCAAACTTTTTGCCAAAGTCTGAGTTTGAAGCGCAACTGACCTAGTATACCTCCACCAAAGGCAGCTACGAGTTGCGACAGAATACTCGGTAAAACATTGACTCCGCTCTGGGAAGGCGTTGAGCCCTGGACGGCTTGGAAGTAGAGCGGAAGGAGATAGATCTGGATCATCGCAGAACCGACCATCGTGAAGTTGGTTGAAGCGGCGCACCACACCGGCCGCTTTCCTGCCATTGATCTGGGGATAAGTGCATCATCACCCTTTCGATAATTCCAAGTCAAGAACGCGACGAAAGATACTGCAGAACCGCAGAACATCCCAATGACCGTTGGGCTACTGAACTCCTCGTTTCCGCCAATCTCCAAAGCCAGAAGCAGCAAGACAGCAGCTCCAGCGCAAAGAACAAATCCAAGAAAGTCGAGGTATTGATGTAGCTTCGGAATCACAGCCATCGGACTTGGTTTCGGCACTTGATCGGGAATATCTGTCCAAACGAGGAGAGGCAAGACTAAACCGCCGATAGGAAGGTTGATGTAGAAAGCTGCACGCCATCATCTGATGTTAGAGCTGACGTCTTTTTCGGGAACCTTCAGCAGGTGTAAAGTTACTCACCCCATCTCCACGTGCTGTACTGCGTTATCACGCCTCCTAGAACTGGACCGAAGACACTTCCACTGTTTGCGACTTTACATGTTGTTAGCTTAGACCGTTACGCGATAGTTGCGAAGACCTACGGCCAATCAGCAATCCAGTAAGAGCTGTTGCCTGGTTGTTAGCGTGTGACAAAATGAATAAGAGGTCAGATCAAACCAACCTGGTCTCTTTTCCAAAGGTACGGAACCCGCAATGATTGTAAGTCCTCCACTCATGATACCAGCGCTGCCCATTCCTGCAATGACTCTACCGACAATCAAGATCATTGAAGACGTCGCGGCGCCGCAAATCAGCGAGCCGAGTTCGAAGACCACCAGGAACGTGAAAAACGACCACTACGACTATCAGCAAGGAACTACTATGTGTATTCGCTTCTCTTACTTTAGAGCTAAAATAGCGATATATCTTTCCCGTAAGGGGCTGAAATGCTGCGTTTGCGAGGTGATACGCACTTCCATACCAGCCAATGTCGCCAAGAGAGTGGAATTCGTCGGTAATCGCTGGAATTGCCTATGACAGTATCAGCCCCAAAGGTCTCTGGCAGCCTTCCCAGGCAGCTTTGGCTTACAGTGACAATAATCGAGCTGTCGAGGAACATGAGCCAGCAGACAAGAGTCACGCAGGTCATCACCAGGAATAATCTGTATCCAGACAAGTACTTAGGCGTTGACGGTACAACCAGAGCTGACGGTTCATCTCTCTTCTCGTTCTCTTGATTCTCTTGAATGGTTTCTGTGCTCATGTTGATTGATTTCTCTTGAACGAGGCCAGGACTTCTGGTCTTTTCGTCCGCGAATACGGATGGAAACGTGTCTGTAGAGGTGAGGCTCAAGTCTATGGAGAGCGTCTGCCGGTCGGTTATGGTGACAATGCTACGCCTTCTCACAGTTGAGGCTCTAGCTACGGAATAGGCGTCTGGTTCGCGATCCATGGCGCTAAACTTCCGATTTCGATCAATCAAAAACCTCTAGGTGTAACTGTCCCCTCCAAAAATGGGACCTGAAGACTTGGCGCCGGGGGGAAAGAGAGTTAGGGCGCGCAAGGAAAGGACGGTCTAACGGTAATATCTTTCTGTTCCCTTAAACCCTGGACAAGGCTTACTAGGCGTCAGCTCGGTGTCGGTGTACGAATTATGCGACTGTTAAGGATTTAAACTTTGCACAGCAATCTGGACTACCATGACACGAGGCGAAATTATGCAAAAAGGGGGTCATGAGTGTCGCAGACCAGTAGCCCACGACTCGTGAGTCGTGTATTGTTACATGGATGGCCATTTGTGTCGTTCTCGGCTGCGTTTCTGCCACAAAGTCTATTGCGTTTGGGCCGATGGGAAAGGCCAGGACGACGGGACACATAGGCGTGAAGGTGACCATGGCTGGCGGAAAATTATTCCCTGGTCTTTTTGCGCCATGTTCCCGGCCGAGTTTCCGCCACACTGAAGTCGAAGAGAGGAGGTGGGTGGTGCACGTGGTCCGTCAACTGAGGTGGGATATGCGACAGTCTTCGATTCCTTGGCAAAATCTCAAGGCCATGGCTCTGGGATGAGTCTTCAATTAGACGAACATACTTACCTAGGTGGGTTGCAGGTACGACCTAACTAGTAGACGCGAAAGCGAAGAACGCGATCGGGGGTCCGCAAGTCAGCTTTGGTTGTCGACAACTACCTCCTGCAATCTAGTCATAAGGTTCAGCGGTACACAGTCAATGGAAAGTTACTTCACATTGCGATCAAGTAATAGCGTCTCAGACTATGGGCGCCCACCGGAATTATCCGATAGACGAGTTGATAGACTTGCAGGGAAAGGGGCTTCCATGAAGTCTGTAGTTGTCCATGGCATATACCTGGTTACGTAGAGCCATCGGTTTCAAAGAGTCATAGTCTTAGCGGTAAAGTCTTACGATAATCTTCGAGGTCTACCCTACGTTATTTGCAAAGTCTAGTCGTTATCAACAGGGGCGAAAGGTATACGAAGGCGATACGAAGAGCACACTCGGAAGCCATCGGTACTACTCGGCCCTCGGAAGTTGGTTACGTCTCTGTGAGGACTAGCACGAAAGGGGTTCTCCAAGGTTGACCACAGCTCTTGATATCCATCATACCGTAAAGTCTCGTTCAAGTCGGAATCCGCTGAAGTAGGGGGTCTGATTCGTCACAGGCCCTAATACTGTGTGTAATTTCCCCCTACTAGCTTAATCAAGGCCCTGGGGAGACAGGGTCTATGTCCAATGAAATAGGTGTGCAAGGGGGTTGCAGGGGGATGCGGATTCCGACTTGAAAAAGATTCTACGGTGTAGTCTTTCGATCGCTTTGAAACAGCCTACCTCCATACTCGAGGTCAATCAATTGTATGCCAACTTCGATTCTTTTTGGTGACGGTTGTTGCGCAGGATAAAATCACGACGGGCGATGATTGACTGTCAACTCGGCATATCGCGGCAATCTGCCTCTTATCGCCACGTTCCCGGGCCTTATCGTCGGCTATCTGCCATAACAGTCGGCTAGTTGGTACATCATGTAGTATTCGGAAGATCACAACCGAATGTAAACAAAAGAACTGCTGTAGCCGCGAAAATGAGATCCTCTCTCTGTTTCCTGTCAGATTCCCATCTGTCGGTTTTCATGATTGAATATGGTTTCACTGGTGTTGTTAAGCAATGTTTTGCTGCTCGTGTTTCAACGGGTAAACGCAGGACCTGTTGTCACTGTACAGAACGGGACTTACGAAGGTCTTCACCTGGACAACTACGAACAAGATGTCTTCCTCGGAATGCCATACGCTCAACCTCCAGTTGGAGATCGCCGTTTCAAAGCACCAGAAAGTCTGAACACATCGTGGCAGACGCCCCGGTCAGCAGTCGAGTATGCTGATATCTGCATGCAATACACTGTGAGAGCTAACCATGTGAACAACATGAATTGAAAGCTGACCGTGCCAACTCAAGGCCCCTCCCAGCTACCCAATGTCTGAAGACTGCCTGTCGCTGAACGTCATCCGGCCGAGCGACTACAACGGAACAGAAGCTCTTCCTGTTGCAGTCTGGATCCACGGGTTTGTTTCTATGCCCCAATGTTGCGTACTGAGACTGACACGGTACCTACTGTAGGGCCGGCCTCTATGCCGGTTCATCCAGGGAAACCAACTTAACGAACTTTGTACGACAAGCCAGCGCCGCTCAGAAACCTTTGATTGCCGTCTCCATCAACTATCGACTCTCAGCCTTTGGGTTTCTCTGGGGATCCAATGAGTTGACAGCCAATGGTTCTGCGAATAATGGCCTCCGTGACCAAAGGTTGGCTTTGAGCTGGATCCAAGAGAATATCGCCGCTTTCGGCGGAGATCCACGCGAGGTCACAATCTTTGGTCAGAGTGCGGGAGGCCTATCCGTCGGTAAGCATCTGATTGCGTACGGTGGCAGGGACGACGGTCTGTTTCGCGGAGCAATCATGCAAAGTGGCGGTATGGCAGAGAAGTGGCCATACAACGTAAAGGATCCCGTTGCGTACACCGAGGATCTCTACCGAAACATCACGGAAACGGGCTGCGCCGACAAGACCAGCCCGCTCGAGTGCCTCCGCAGTTTACCTGTCGAGTCCTTGTCCGCCGCTCTGAATGTCAGCAACACACCTGTATTCTCAGGTACCGGCCTTGGACCATGGCTTACGCAAGTCGATGGTGATTTCCTCCGGGATGGGCCGACCGCATCTCTTGACAAGGGCCATTTCGTTCGTGTACCAATTATGTACTCGACGACAACAGATGAGGCAACTGTCTTCATGTTTGGTGGACCCATTGACACCGACGACGACTTCAAAGCACTTGTTGCGGCTGGCGGCCCAGACGAGACCACTGTGTCCAAGATCGAGGCCTTGTACCCCAGTAATACCACCGGACTCCCCGCAGTGTATACTCCCTCAACGGAAGATGTTCAATTGTACGGCGCTCAGTGGAAGCGAGGGGTCATGTTTCACACTGATGTTGTCGAAACAACATCACGACGAATGACTTTGAAGGCCTGGGCTACTGCTGGACAAAAGGCATATTCAGCTAGGGTCAATCTCTTACCTCCTAGCTCCACGGCCCGTTTAGGTTCGCATCACTCCATGGATGTCAACTTCATTTTCGCAAATTTGGACGCCACCACGTCCAACCAAACACAATTCGCGACAGCCTCCAAGCTCATGAGCGGAGCTTGGGCGTCATTCGTCTCGGAACTTGACCCCAATCATCACGGAGGTACGTTTACTTGGCAGGACTTCCTATATTGAGCTGCCGTGTCTTCGTAGAAAAGAGTTGCTAACAGGGTAAACAAGTTTCTGACGCGCCAAATTGGCCCACGTGGACTGGAAATGTCGCAAACGAGACTGGGAGCTACGGAAGTAACTTGGTCTTCAACGCCAACAGCGACCCTTCGTCGAATTCGTTTCTCGAGCAGGACAACTATCGGGTTTCTCAGACAGACTATTTGGCAAGCGTTATGCAGAGTCAGATGTACTACTAAAGGAGAAGGATGGACACCAGAGAACAACTGCAGACTTGGCAATCATCACTTTCTCGGGTCCCTCAAACCCGCATGCATCCCACATGCTCAGCGTTTTTGATGAGGGTTGACTGAATTCCCTCGTCATCCGATTCGGCGAGACTGTGACGTTCTCCACAAACTTAATCTCAGTGCCTGAGAGTCGTTCACGCCAAGAAGGCCTTTGCGCCCTGGATACTTGGCAGATGCCTGCCATCCCACCGGGCTGCTGGCAAGAATACGAACACAATTTCCGCAGTTGAGGTAGCCCCGTGAACATCCCTCCGGAACGCGTTATAAATGCCAGGGACTCGGTTAATTGGTAGCAATGTGGCGCCAGCCAAATGTTACACACGGGATGCAAGGGACGCTATTCCGTCCTTCGCTATTGGTTTACACGTGTTTCTTTCGAATTGCTTGGCGTTGGCATTCCAGTCGATGGGATAATGCAAATGCAACGCTGAAATACAATAACAATGAGCATATAATCTAACAGCGAACCTTGCGATTCCTTGAAACGCTTTCAATATCTATCTTACCTTTTGAGCCCAGCCACAACCCATTTGTTGAGGTTTACGCAACACCATGGAAAATTCTGCTTGTACTTTGATGAATGCCTGTTAAGCATCGTGTTGCTGTTTATGATAACCAGGAAATTTCCCGAAACACTTTGCTACTTGATTCAAGTTTGAATAGACACGAAAGAGTGAGAACAGTACACCACCAGCAAGCCTTTCATTTTGTACATCATCTGAAGTCTTTCTCATTCGTATGTCTCAGTAGTTAGCCGCTGAAAGCAGAATATCGCCATGAAGCCAGACGAATCTAGCACAGTAAGGGGACAAATCCTTCAATTGGACCCAAAGGACCGATGGAAGCCCATCGACTACATCCGCAACATCGTATTCTTCGTCCTCCGGCATCCGATTCGAGAGGATATCTTGCGGACTTCTCTCGACAACTTGATACGAAACCACCTCCCCATTCTCGGTTCCAAGATTCAGTCAGATGGAAAGCAGGGAGGTCTGGTTTGTCATCTCCCAACACCTTCTCACGATGGCCCACTTTTCGGATGGTCGAGCCGCCGCGTTCGAACAACTCTGGCCGCAAGCCAACTTCTACCCGCATCAAATATATCAGCTAGCCAAGGGGTCACATGGGGGAAGTCAATCGTTGATATAGAGAAAGAATGGACCCCTACAACCTGGCCAAGAGCACGCTATGAGGATAAGCCAGATACCGCAACGTTTCTTGTGCATCTGACCCAGTATGAAGATGCGACTGTTGTATGTACGAACATTCCACATGCGATTGTGGACCAGCTGGGGTTCTCTAGCTTTGTGAGAGCGTGGCTGCAAGTAGCACGTGGGGAAAAGCCAGCTCAGTTCCTGCAACTTGAACGCGGGGCTCTCGACGGTCCAAAAGACCTAAGTGAGAAAGAACTGCAGAGAAAGGCAACTTACAGAGTTACAACTGCCAAAGAGAGAGCTGGGATCTTACTGGGTTTTGTTCCGGAACTCATCTTGCAACCATCCGAAACCCGACGACTCTTGGTTTTCCCTGAGGCTTTGATTGCCAACTTACGAGAGAAACATCAAGCAAAGATCGCTTCGACTCACGGAGCAAAGTTGCAGGTGACAAACGGGGACATTGTCGCGGCTCTTCTGTTGAAGGTGAGACCTGTGATCTCCACTAGCGTTGCTATAACGATGCTGATAAATATTCCAGTTAACTCACTTGCATAGAAAGAAACCAAAAATGATCATGCTGACTGGAACTGTGAATGGCAAGTTAAATGGCTTGAGGTATGAGTAAAATATTGATGAACTAACGTTGAGGCAGCTCGGGGTCGCCATCCGGCACTCATGGCCGATCAGCCATACCTTCACAATGCAGTTATGTACAGCACAGCACATTTCTCAATCAGCCGAGACACGTCCGTATGCGACATAGCCTACCACAATCGACTTGCAGTTATAGAAGCTCTTAAGCCTGAGAATATCGACCGGGCTTTTGCGGTGACTCGAGAGATCGCCTTACGCGGGTACACTATCCACGTCTGCGAACCTGGGGAGCTCAGTTTCACCATCACCAACTGGACAGCAGCTTGGCATGGGATTGATTTCTCTAAATGCCGTGATCAACCTGCCGGCGAAGACGAAGAACTGGTTGCAGACACAGAACAGCATGCTGAACCACAGCATGTACCCACACCATCACCGCTTGTGTTTGGTCACTCGCTTCCCAGAGGAAGGCCTACCAGATGTAAGTGGAATTAGATTTCGTTACAAGCTTCTGGAGGTGGCTAATCATTGGCCGTTAGTCAACGCCCAGATCATGTGCAAGGCGGAAGGCGGCTGTTGGTGCGACTTCACATCATCCACCAAGAACATGGCCCTAGTTGACCAGCTCATGAGTGTTGATCCATCCCCGGAGTCAATATAGACCTCTCCCGACTATTCTTTCTCAAACAGGCGGAAGAAATTGTTGCCCAGATGCGGAGGTAATCAGTATGAGACTATGCATGAGTCGGGGGCAAGAGAATCACAGTTCGATCATCACATAGAAATAGAGAAACAAGCAGACTTTCGGGTTGCTCGACATTGCATTTACCACGAAGAACTTTGCCACTGCTTCTATGCTCTGCTTGGGGTTTATCGGCTTGCCAATCCCTGCTCAATCTCACATCTCAGTGGTTGGTCGATCACACCACTGTGTCGCCATACATAACAGCCCTGCAGACTGCAGTCAGCATTTGACATGACTGAGGCTAATGTGAAAGGGATGCATTCAAGTTTGCTTCTCTCAATCGGATTCAATGACATGATCGAGACTGGAATTAGAATCTCCGCACTAGTACTTTGTATGCTGCCCCGAGCTGCCCTAAGCCAGGAAGTCATGGTTGACCTCATGCGGAGACTGCTGCACGTTTGCTCTGTTGTAACAATTGAGCAGGCCCGTGTCTGAGGAATATCAAGTCAAACCAAGATCAGAGTTCGCTTCAGAGAATGAGGAATAAGCTGGGGACAAAACGACTGCCCTGTCACTCATCAAGTCTATGTCGGACTCGGCAATGCAACAAGGTATCATCGAGTTTCGGTTAACACCGGGAGCATGCTCATCTTCACCGGATCCAGAACTCGCAGGCGCGCAATGAACCAGGTGTACAACGAGTACGAGGTCGGATCCGAGCAGCGCTAAAGCGCGCCGAAGACGCGTGGAAAATGGAAAATTTGAAGTTGAGGCCCCAATCAGAAGGCATTGGCCAAAGACCGTGTCCCACTGTACCCATCTCGTTTAAACCGTTTAGCGGCGGTGGGTGTGCGAGGTTGATCCTGACTCGATGGAGGGCACTTTTGCCGATGGCGCAATTGCTCTTATGTACGACTTTGATGAGAAAGGTCACCAACGTGAGCAAGACTTTTCCTTTGCCACCCGCACCTTGAGTGAATTCGCAATCGAGGGCATGATCTAAGAACGAGTTCGTGATTGAGGCGGTTGAGTCCGAGGAGGAACTTTTTGTAGGAACACGATCCATCGTCAACATCCCCGGCCATCCCACGTAGGCCCGACTTCAATGTGACTCCGCCACACCAGTCAAGAGCCCTAAAGCCAAACATCCGAGCCGCAGATCCGGGCGAGGTCGTGCCATCGTGCGACGCAGGCAATATAAACATGAAAAACGCCGATGACACCATCGCAGAGATCCACTGCGTCTAACCGTTCAAGGTCACCTCCCAAATCTGGAAGCTGTTCGGTGTCTGCAAGACTTGTGGGCGAACATGTTCGGTCCTCGATATAAGATGCATCAGGTAGCCAGGGTTGCTTTCGGGATAAAAGCTTGTATCCCCCAGGCTTGGCCGACTTGGCTCCCGTGTGGCGTGCTTTTCCAAGAATCTTGGCGATCAGCCGCTTGAACGACATCTGCCATGTCCCCCTCAACCACCACACAGCCACCGGCCGCTAGCGAGCCCAAGACCTCCGGCAACGACGCCATTTCCGCCGAGTCTCCCCGCGATGGTACGCCCGAGAAGACGTCCAGCGAGCGCGCCGCTCCCTTCACGGAGGGCGACATGGAGAAGCCGCCTTTTGTTTTTACGACGCAAGCGAACGGATCCGAGGTAGCATTTGACGAAGATGACCCGCGATTGCAGGACATCCCGCCATACGTCCGCCGCATCGTGAGCCTGTCGGATGACCCCGAACTGCCGACACTCACCTTCCGCTACTTCGTCCTCACCATCATCTTTGTTATTCCCGGAGCGTTCCTCAGTATGATGAGCCATTTCCGTACCACCTACGCGCCGTACTCCGTCTTTTTCGTGCAGATCGCTTCCAGCTATGCTGGTGTTTGGCTCGCCAAGGTTCTGCCTGCATGGCAAGTCAAGCTGCCATTTGGATACGGCTTCAACCTGAACCCCGGACCATTCAGCGTCAAAGAGCATGTTCTCGTTACCATTTCTGCAGCATCTGGAGCGACTTACAACCTGGGCTACACCCCGGTTGCTATGGCCGAGCTCTACTTCAACTCCCGCATCAACCCGGCGGCTGCCATCTTCTTCATGTGGGGCATTGTCTGGACGGGCTACTCTTTCGCGGCTCTCGCTCGTCAGTTTCTGATCTACGATCCCCAGTTCCCGTGGTTTACTGCGTAAGTTTCTGTTCCTTCAAAGAATTTGTCTTTGGTACTACTTACTATTGCGCATTGCGCACGGGAGATAAATCCTTTGTCCAAGCATTAGACTGACTTCGACTTAGTCTCTGCCAAACTGCTCTATTCGAGACGCAAAAGAAACAGCGCGAGAACCCCACTGCTGCCTCTCGCAAGCAGACCAGAGTTTTCTTCCTCGCTCTGGCCGGCATGACCCTCTGGCAGTTCCTGCCCGAGTATGTCTTCCCGATGCTTGGCTCTCTGGCCTTCCTCTGCTGGGTTGCGCCGAACAACGAGACCGCAAACTTCGTCGGTGCCGGTTTCGGTGGAATGGGAATGCTCAACTTGTCCCTCGACTGGTCCAACATCTCGAGCAGTGCGAGCTTGTTCTTGACCCCCTGGTGGACCCAGGTTGTCATGTTCCTGGGCTTCGCTTGCAGCGCCTGGATTCTGATCCCGGCTGCTAAATTCGGTCACCTTGGAGAGTGGAACAAGCACCTCATGTCCAACCGTCTATTCCTCGAGAACGGAACATCTTACCCAACCACTTCGCTACTTACTGCGGACGTCTCCTTCAATGAGACAGCTTATCAGGAACTTGGACCCCCGTTCATTAGTACTCACGTCCTCTGGACCATGTTTTTCGATTATGCAAGCTATACGTCGGCATTGGTGTGGGCTGGACTCTTCGGCTACAAGACCATCAAAGCCAGTCTCGAGAAATTGCGCCAGCGCAGCAAGAGCGGAGCTGAGATCAGCACTCAGTACAACGATCAACTCAGTATCCTTCAACGCTCATACAAGGAGGTCCCCATGTGGTGGTTCTTGGCCTTGTTTGCCGCTTCTTTCATCTCTCTAGTCACCATTACCGCAACTGGTCAGATGTTCATTCCGGTCTGGACTTACTTCGTCGCCATTGGTACTGGAGCCATTCTGGTCGTTCCCCTGGGGTACCTGTACGCCTTGTCAAACTTCCAACTGGCAATCGGCACTGGTATGTTGAAATCCATTCTTTATCGCGCAATATAAACTAACGGAGCACAGTCAATGAGCTGTTGTACGGCCTCATGGTAAACTCTGTCAGCGGCTTCAAGAACCCGACCGGAGCTTCCGCCTACGGTGCTATTGCTGGCAACGCCTGGTACCGCGCGCAATTGAACTTGCAAGACATGAAAATCGGTCACTACATGCATTTGCCACCCAAGACTGTCTTCTTCTCTCAAGTATTCGGCAGCTTCTTGGGCGTCCCGATCAACTATGCCGTCGTCCGCTGGGTGCTTGACACCAAGTTCGACTACCTTACTGGCGCCAAGGAAGACCCTGCTCATCAGTGGACTGCGCAGTCTCTCACGTCCAACCTCACTATGGGTGTGCAGTACGTGCTCATCGGCCCTCGTCGCCTCTTCCAACAACACATCTACAAGGTTCTTCCCTATGGCTTCCTCGTTGGCGCCTTCGTCCCGGTTCTGATCTTCGCCCTGCACCGCTTCTTTCCGCGGGCCAAGTTCCAGCTGTGGAACTCGACCATCTTCTTTTCCACCATGGCTAGCTTCTACGGCAACATCAGCACCGGATACTTCAGCAGCTTCATCGGTGGATTTGTCGTCATGTTCTGGGCATACAGATATCGCTACGATCTTTGGTAAGTGACCCAGCGTGATATTTCACCGTTCTCGCGTCACAAAGTTGCTAACGCCATATCAACAGGGCCCGATGGAACTACATTCTGGCGGCAGCCTTTGATGCAGGCTTCAACTTCAACATGCTGTTGACGTTCTTGTTCTTCGGCGCAGGAAAGATTGTGACGATGCCTTATTGGTGGGGTAATAATGAGGCCAGTTCTGAGAGATGCTTCGCCCTCAGCTAGGTTCATTTTGGCATGCAACTATAGAGATTATGTAGCCGATCAAATATAGGTTTTTAACACACTTTTCAGTGTCACGCTCCAGCAGTACTCTTCGTCAGAATGGACTTGCTACAACACTTCATGACCATTCCCCGTCCAGTACCCAAGGCCCCCATTCTCAAATATCGTTTCGCGAACGACAAAGGAGGCACTCATGGCCTCAAGTTCGTCGGTCGTCGGCTGTGGACGATGCATCTGTCCATCCGGAACAGATTCGAATAACTTTAGTAGTTGATGTTGCTGTATGCGTTTCCAGTCCCACAGCACGTAAGCCCGGTCCCGAAGCCAATCGTTGTGGTCGAGCATCAGCCAAGAACCAACCGGCTGACTTTTATGCGCTGCATACCAGGCCTCACACGGTCCTTTGTCGACATCTTCGTCCATGCCGCGACTAAACACAATCGACAGCAAGTCACCTTCATCGCGGCCTTCTGATCCAGAGTCGTCACTGCAGTAGGCACGAAGTACGTCGAACAGTGCCCCTGGACAGTTGGCCCAGCCTATCCTGGAGCTAGATCTTAGTAACTTGTTTCTGGTTTGGTATGAAGAATCCGATTTCACCAGACGCCGGAGAAAAAGAATTCCTTCTGCCATCTGTTGTTCATGTGAGCCTATGTGCAGTGTGCAAAGACATTATTGGAGTACAACAACTCACCCAGATTTGTCTTTCGTCATTTATCCTGCCACAATGAAGGTAGTCGACGTTTAGTTCACCAAAGAGGACGTCGTGGGCGATAACATCAGTACTGGCTTCAACGCTAAATCAGACCTTGGTTCCTTATCGATCGCGAGAAACTTACCTGCGGCAAACCTCGATTCCCAAAATTCTGCGACAGAGCCGATCTGTTCATTTTCCCAAGGTGGGTTCCTTGAAAAGAACTTGACGTGTGCTGTATTACCCAAGGGTTCTCTGCGATCTTTGTACATATTCCTGAAGAGGGTGTAGAATAGCTCGAGGCGATAAAACGCTCGGCAGAAGTTGTAACGTTCCTCAACTGACAAATTTGGTTGTGTGGTAACTTGGAGCTGGTCTGAGTGGAGGCGTTCCCAAGACTCAGCGGCAAAGCTGGAGGTGAATTCCATAATCGCTTGGTGCCTTTTTGACATCTCTTGTCGATGGACAACTGACATTGCCTGTATGCGGCTACCTAAAAGGGACGGTTTATCATACAGAGTGTCGAATAGGTCGCGCACTGCTTCGCTTTCGATTTCGCGGGGGTGGTGAAGACGGAAACGAGATGCCTCTATGACACCCACGGCGTAAGGGAGCAGGGCTGGTGTTATCTGTTGTCGTAGAATTGCAACGTCGATTCCATGGATTTGATTGAACGAGTTATAGATGTGACGGCAAGTTAGCAACGCTGCGGTTAGAGACTGGAAGTCATCGAGACTCCCGAGGATGGATGCTACGAGCTCACACGGCAGCGTTGTGAAAGACATGATGCACCGATGAGGTGTCTGGGTCTCACCCTGCTAGTGCGAGTAGGCAAATAGGAAGGAGGAACGCAGTATAAGGCCGTGTCAATGAAGCTTCATCCCAAGCTAATGAAGACTTGAAGGCGAGAAGATCGATCAGTGCATCCAGCCGCACGTCAGCCATCAGCTGAGTGCAGGGCGGCTGCCTAGGCTAAGCCACATTGAGCTGGGCCCATCAACCAATCAGCATGTGAATTTCTTGTTTTGCATCAGTCGGTGTGTTTCAGGAGTTCGAATGTTTTAATCTGGAGAAATCATTGCGAAGCAAGCCTGAACTTGATTGATTCGTGGTTGTTACTGACAAGTGGTAACCGGCGCGGCGAGCCATCTGATGCCGCCCTTCTGCTACCAGGCGTGGGCTAATCCCCAACGCGCACATACATGTCTTCAATCTCTGGCTCATACAACTTCAAGACTGCTGATCTCTGAACATTACCTTTACCAGCCAATTTCCAAGCGGAGACCATCCATCAAATAGCTCACGTAGCTCCGCGAATGGGCTTCCTGTAATCCTGCACAGTACATAGAGCACTAGCATGTAGATCGGCGTCTCAGTTCAGACCCAAAAAAAGTGTACCAACGGAGAACTCGATTTCCGAAGGACAGCGGAGTAAATGTGAGGCTGCTTACCTGTATTGCTTATTCTCAACGCCGGATTTCTGAAGCATGACGATCGCATTGCACACATAGTCAGCCTATACATGACGGCAATTCCGGCAGTCTCGATGGGGCACCAGCCGTTCGGCTCGGTACTTGAGTGGTGCTGACAACCGTTTCAGATGCATACATAAGCGATCAGGCGTGGCTCACGAGCATCTAGAATGCTTACTCGGAGTCTCGGAATAGCTTGCTGCACTCAACTTAGTTGGTTTCATTATATCAGAGGCAGAAATGTTCTCTGCAGTCCTACATGGAGCCCTTGCTTCGTTGTTGATGAGGGGACTTCTTGGACTTCCATGCCAAATGTTATGTGTCTATGTATGACATCCATATAGGTCTCTGGGTGGCACTGACTGAGGTGCTTTTACTGCTTTTTCCCCTACTGTGAAAACCCCTACTGGGTGGGCTCGAAACTTCCTCAACATAGGTCTCTGGGTAAAGTATGAGGACACTATAAATTCTCAGACTTTAGTCCTCATACGGGAGCATCTCAGGCTTCTTCGGCACTTTCTTGACTCTTCCCTTGAAACCCCATCCAATCTGCTTCGCAACATGGATGTCAACACCCAAGTCATCAGCCCATTGCCACACAAGACCTGGGTTCTTTTGGAAACCTCGACCGGCAGCAATCAAGTCCAACGGAGTGTCCCCTTCCTCATCAGAACCCGTTATCAGCTTCTCGGCGAGGTTTCCGTCCTTGATAATACCCACAGCGCTAACAAGCATCTTATCTCCAACAGCCGCTTTGATCTTCTTGGCCATGGGTGCTTGGAAGCCAGCGCTGGCAACAATCTTCTGTTGAGAATGATTGCCACCAGTGGACACATCGAGCACATCTACCCTGTGATCCGCCAGAATTTGAGCCAGCTTCACACTCTCGTCGACGGTCCAGCTTGGGCCGTCCCACTCGGGGTTCGTATCGAGCCAGTCGGTTGCACTGATTCGAACAAAGAGTGGCATGCCCTCGGGAATGACCTCGCGAACAGCATCGACGAGCTCGATGGCGAGACGAGTGCGGTTCTCGAACGAACCGCCGTATTGATCTGTGCGCTTGTTGCTCGCTGGAGAGAGGAAGCTGGAGATGAGATAGCCATGCGCAAAATGAAGCTCAATTACATCGAACCCGGCATGAAGAGAACGGTAAGCACCCTTGACAAAATCTTGCTTCAGTTGGTCTATCTCGGCGATAGTCATCTCCCGGGGAGTGGCGTGCTTGTCGGACCAGGCAAGATCACTCGGGCCGACCACATCTTGAGGCCAACCTCCAGCTTCTTGACCAGCAAGTGTCTCGAAGCCCAACCAGGGAGCAAGAGTTGATGCTTTCCTTCCGGCGTGCGCCAGTTGAATGGCGATGAGCTGATTTTGGCTGTGAGCGAATTCGACGTGTTTCTTCAGAGTCTCAACATGGGCATCAAGCCAGATGCCAGAGTCTTCCGGTGTGATGCGGCCGTTGGCCTGCACGGCTGTAGCTTCGACCATCATGAGGCCAGGCTTCGGGAGCGTTAGTCTCTTCATCCTTTGAACGTTATGTGATGGGCTACTTACTCCGCGCTGAACCATACCACCGTAGTGCGCAATGTGCCAAGGGGTGTGGAAGCCCTCATGAGCACTGTACTGGCACATGGGACTGACCCATATGCGATTCTGGAGGGTGGCACCTCGAATTTTCAAGGGGCTGAATAGCTTGGGAATAGGCTCTCCGGAAGGCTGGGGGTCAACAGCACTGCCTGGGCGAGGGTCTTGCTTGGGAGAGAAGAACGAGCAATTGTCGGCAGCCTCGTTGAAGGGTCCCTCTTCGGCTGTTACGCCGGGTTGAGATTGAGTGATGCGATGGGTGAGGAATGCGGACATTGTAAATGATTCTTTTCTCCAAAGGTTTGAGAGTGTTGATATGTGATCGTGGAAGAACGCTCTCGGTGCGTCGTTTCTAGATTTTTTGGCTGCTGCAGGTTGGGAACATATTTATACCATACATCGTGGCAACTATCGTGACAAGCGTTGGAGCTATAACTAATAGCGCGACGAGAATCGAATTGTCCCAAAAGTGGAAACCTGGTCGTACGAAACAGTGTGCCCGTGGGCCCGACACATCTCATTTGTGGAGCTTCACCGTGCCAGGCTCACAATTGACTCCTTTGACTACGAGAATCTGTCAATTCTCTGTCGACAACTGCCGTCCATTACGGGTAGAGAGTATTACAAAGCCGGCCAACGGATTAACTCAGTAGCCGCCGGCCTTTCTTTACGGATCAACCGAAGCCTAATGCAGCTCCATTCAGCGTCTTGCAGTGGGGAATAACCGAGGATTCGATTCTATTGCTAGTGTGAGGGCGTTGGCTTTATAAGCAGGCTACGCTCCCTGATCTCTGTCCGACGCCGGTGGGATGATTGTGCGGGATTGGGCAGGATCTGTCTGGTCACAGCCAATGATGAAACAGACACCGTTGAACAAGTGGTTTCTAACGTCGCGAGCTCCCTAAACTACGGAATATATATTCCTGAGCTCCACAAATGTGGCTGCGCGTGTACAAAATATTTAGTCCGTTTTCAATGGCTGTTATGCGTGCCTATCTTCTTCTCACGCTTGAGTTACCACTCGATCTAGAATCTTCCCCGGGTTGTGATACAAGTCTGTGGCAGGGGCCTTAGTTCTCTGGTTGCGCCAAGCCTGAGCGTGTCTTGGCTAGACCTCAACTAGTGAGGGCATCATTTGCGGTCGCCGAGGCGAAGGATACAGAACACTTCGGACTGGGACACGCGCGATTAGATTGAAATTGCCTTCGAAACAAGTAAAAGATTAACGATGAGACCAACTAAGTTATCATTTGTCAGCCTACCTCAATGTCACGGTGGAGAAGACTCAGACGTCTCTGCGAAAATCGATTTGAAAATCGGCCGAGATGAATCTCGAAAACGCTACCAAGTAGATATCATAAGCTTATGAGTATCCAAATTCCACGGCAAGTTTGTCTCATATGAGTTCAAGGCTTCACACAACTTTCGTCTGTCGTACGTGTCGTTCCGATAATTTCAATCGCGCATAATCTTGAATTAAAACTAAGACTGTTTGTATGTTGCGAAAGTCACTTAACTGATTGTCAAGTTGGAATTGCGACGTTAAGGTCTTGGAACGTGCTATCTGAGCACCGAAATACCCGAATTCCGCGGTTAAGTCACACTAGCTTCACCACTGATCTCTTATCGGCCGCCGTGACTGACGGCGATGCCCGATGACTCACTCTTGGACCACACAAAACGGTGCCCCATCGGTCATATCCAATTCACGGAGACCAAGGAAAATACACTCATTTGAAATCTTGTGTCTTCCAATGAGCTATTTTACCCATCGAATGATCAGCTTGGCTGTCCTCAACAGGAGATGATGCAACCATATAAGTCGCATAATGGTCTGGCGGACTATTCACTACCCGGAGGGCTAGTTATCAGCCAGATCATATCGACTGAAGCCTTGGAATTCTGGACACCCTCACTGTCCGATCTACTCCAATTATGCGTCAATATGGACCCTGAAACATCCTAAATTGGCTTTCGGGCACCGCTGTCTGAAGAGGACGCGTCCGCCTATTGGACATCGCTCTCGTCAGACGTCTCAGGGACCGATCCTTTGGTCTATCTCTTCGTCGTCAAGGATCCTGCCAAATCAAACGACAATAATACTTTAGCGACCTTGCAGCTCGGGCAGAACCCCAAAGAGACGCATAAGCACAAGATCGAGGTCCGCAAACTCCTTGTTCACCCAGCCCAGAGAGGTGGCGGTATCGGCCGGAAGCTCATGGATTTTGCCGAAATGTTCGCCCGCGATGGCCTCGGAAAGACAATGATGTTACTAGACACGGCCAGTGACACGCCTGCGCGGGGACTTTACTTGAAGCTTGGTTACGTGGAATGGGGTGTTTGTCCGGCCTATGCGCAGAACGCGCTCGGGAGACTGCATGACTGCTCCTTCTTTCTGAAGATGTTGCAGCCCACGGGGCAAGGTATCTTAAGCGGGAATGAACAAGACGAAGCATGCTGCTAGAATGAGATATACTTGCTGGTCAGATGAAGCAACCCAATATTGCCGCGTAGAGTTCACCTTCAAATCAATTCACCACGTCTAAACTACTGATTCATGAAGCTGGTTACATACGTGAGAAGTTCATGATGACATCCTTAGAAAGACTTTAATGCACAGCCCCGCGTTGTCTTGAATGCCAAGGCATAGGCCCTTCACAGGTGCTCTCAATATCCCCAACTTCCTCGACGTTTTCCTCCCTTCCCACCAGGATCATTCAACCCGAATCTGGTCCATCACCGCAAAGAGCCATCGACTCTCCGACACGCCAATGAGTCGGTAACCTATTGCTCTCGCTTATGGCGTCTATCTTTTATTCAAGTGGGAAGATCACTCCCGAGGCGAGTGCAGCGAAACCCTGTCCTCGTCCCCCGAAAACGCGTACGTTGTCGTTCAAGCGGAGCGGTGGAATTACGGCACGGGCGACTTCGATAGCGGTCCGGGGATCGACATCCCATCTATAGTGGGTCTCATAGACCACGAACTTGATATTGGGGTCTTAAGAGTCCTCCTCAGCTGGGATCATGAAGTGGGACGTCGGTAGATACGCCTGTTGCTGTTGCTTTTGATATTGCCCGCGACTGGAGGTCGCCATCAATCGTGACAACACTCAGGCCATTATCCATCTCATCGATATTTCTGGTGCCGGGAGTGAGAAGCTCGGCTCGCGCTTTCATATGATAAATGGGAATATCAGGCAACTGGAACCGGATGGATGACTGGTTGCACGCTCTTGCGGTAGACGCTGATTCGGGGGAAAGAAGACGTCAAAACTACTTCCCTCACGCAAGACCTGTTTTATTCCCAGTCATTAGGGGATCCTATGATAGCTGGCCAGGTACTGAATCGCGTGCCTTGATTACATTTGGTTTGTGCGGCTTCTCTCGTGCATGAATGATCAGGCCAGCCGGTGCAGCGGAAAATTGACGTCCATAGCACCACATAATAGCTGAAAGAACCTACCGTGCCTTGCTAGCAGTCCGAGGGAGTCTGTGTACAAAGTCTCTCAGGGTACATAACGTACTTCCTAATTCGGTCGAGAACATGAAGGCCAAGCCACACTTCCGAGAAACTCCCTCAATCTGCCTCACGACCCACCACGCCAGAAATGACGCCAAAGCAGACCTCCAACGGCTGTTTGACGAAAACGAGCCTCAGATGGCCACAAATAACGCCCTCAAATTTGGAAGAGGAACGCGTTTTGATATTACTTGTCCGGTGCCTGGATCGTGTTACATTGGGCTTGACACGAGGTTGGGCGAGATGACGACGTGCTTTGAAGCGAGCTGACTTGCAAGCCAGCCTTACAGGGAGGATCAGCTGGGTCAATAACTTGCTCACGCCGAACGCGTCCTATTAAAGAGGCTCAGGGAATTGTGAGCCGCAGGTGCTGAACTTAGAGGGTCAAGCGAAGGCTCCAACATCCAAGCCCGCCCCAGCAACGACCGACCCGTTTCTCGCGGTCAGAACCAGAAAAGAATTATTTAAATCCGGTATCGACGTCGGCATTTTGTCTCTTAACTGTAGACTAATCTTCCTGGAGAATCCGCTCAAAATGGATATGACAGAGCACAACCACGGCCACTCCAATGATGGCGACGGGTCCATGACAACGCCTGTGGTCTTCCACACAGCCATGTCCACCAGTCTGTTTTCTGAGACCTGGACCCCTCGTACCACTGGGCAGTACGCGGGTACTTGTCTCACCCTCATTCTTTTTACCATCATCCTTCGGGCTCTTCTTGCTTTCAAGCCGAGGCTTGAGGCAACAGTGTGGGCAGGCCACGATGACACCAGAGGCAGACTGGTGGTTGGGCATGACGACGAGGAGACCAGAAAAGAAGAAGTGCCGACCAGAAGTAATTCAAAAAGACGACTACATCCTGATAATGGGCTAAGAGGCATGATATCGGAAGCCAACATAAGGCTTGGGAGGGCGGTTTATGAGGTTCTCATTGCCTTGCTAGGCTACCTTCTGTAAGTGTGCATGCAGCCGATTCAGGGCAATGATACTAATTATGGCAGAATGCTTGCAGTAATGAGTATGAATGTCGGATACTTTGTTTCGATCTTGGTCGGCGTGTTTCTTGGGACATTGGGATTGGGTGGCATTGCAAGGGATTCCACCTTTGATCACTGCTCTTAATAACCATTACCGATGGAGTTCATGAATGGCATGATCAACGATGAACTGAAGAAGAACCTGGGCTTAATCTTCGTTTTATACGAACCCAATGGGTATGTCACAAGCTTAATGAGACTTTCATGATTGGAGATTTCTCTTGCGGACAAATTTGTTTCTATGATAGTCCTTTGTCTGTTTTCCCTCAATTGTCGTTCCTTCCTAGGCTAGTACAAAGAGCTGCACACCCCAGAACGAGCCCTATCTAAAGCCATAACCCACCAGACGCCGCGTTAAGCAATTTCATGAACAGTCATGATTTTGGAACATAAGAAATGTTGAAACTAAGCTGTCGCCGACTCAGGTCTCATATTCCACCAACTGCCGCGAGGCCTTCCCCATGCGCTTGAACTGGCTTCTCAGGGCCGAGTTGTCGCAATTGACCAAAGTATTGACCCACTCGTCCTCCTTGGTCTCCTCGTTCTTGCACTTACGGCTCGCAGCGCCAAGAAGGGTGGGCTTCATGTTGCCGTAGATGGTCTCGTACTGCTGCGGGCCGGTGACGAAGCCCTCGTGGAAGATACCAATGTGGTCGAACTGGTCCCTGATGCTGTTGTACCAGTCCCAGGTCTTGCGGTGGAGGGGATCGTGGGCGAACTTGTTGAGGCCCTCGACGTCTCTGAAGTAGTAGATGAACATGAGCGTGTTGTTGCGCTCGGCCTCGAGGGATTGCCAGGAAGAGAGGTGGTAGAGTCCGTACTCGTCGGCGCGGAGGTTGAGGTCCTTGTTCATGGCGTCAAAGTATGCGCCGATCTCGCGACCGCCGGGAGAGAGGAGTCCGAGAGGATGGTTGAAACGGACTCCGAGGTGGAAGACCAGCAGAGATCGACCGGCCGGGGTGGCGGGGATCTTGCCGGTGGTGGGGTCCGGGAACTGTGCGGAGGTACGGCCCGGGACGACGCCGTTCATGTAAGTGTTGGCCGACTTTGAGCGGGTTCCGATGATGGTGGAAATGATGGAGTTGAGAGCGATAGCGGAGGAAGGAATGATGGCGTATTTTGTCGGTAAAATGAGAAAGAGCGCTGTCTGCATGAGGGCGCCGATGGAGAAGAGAGTCGTGAGAGTGAAACCATCTTTGATGAGCAACTGCAGCCAGTTGTCAGAATCTGTGATCGAAGGGAGAATTGCACATCGAGAGTAAAAAAAAAAAAAAAAAAAAAAAAAAACTCACAGGTACAGTGTTGATCTGAGGAAGGCGGTAGGGCTTCGTGGTTGGCCTGAGAAGGCCGGGGAAGGTGTCGGTTGAAGCGACCATCGTGAGTTAAGTCTGTGGTATTTCAAGCGGGAGGGAGAAGAGTTTCGAACAAGTAGAATAGAAAAGATGGCGAGATTTGAAGTTTGAAATTCTTGAAACTGCTTGGTTGGAGTGAGTTGTTGATGTGCTGCGGGGAAGGCTGTGAGAGTGACGCACTGCAACTTCCTTTTATCTCAAGAAGACGGATGCCGTAAGGAGGCTTGAAGCCATCGCCCGTTGAGACCCAGGCGTCGGACGGTCGGACGGTCGGGTGGGTTGTCGACGCTCCGCGCAGTCGGTTGGCGAGATTAACCAGTCAGCTGCGGGAGAAATCCAAGAACGTAATCTTCCTTCTTGGCCGAAAAGCGTTGGTCCGATTCCTCCGATGCGAAAAACAAGCGAAAGCGCAGAGGGGCTAGGTAAAGAAGGGCTTAGCTTGGGGAAGCCAAAGCGATCAAGACCCCAGCGATGCGATCGTGGCTGCTGCTGTTAGCAAGACGCTCGCTAGGTACATACGACATGAGGAAAAGCGCGAAGCTCCAAGCGGGGCAAGCGTAGCTGAAGACGAAGAAGGAAGGATAAGGGGCGCGTGGGAAATGCTCACAACATGGAGAAATTGAGAGTATTTTCTGCCGACGGCCTAATTATTCGCCAACCTCTTGACACTAGCCACGCGTGCGCCTCCAACTCAATGCCTCCATTTGAGTCAGTGACGTGTGTGTCTCTCTCGCACTCGCTTGGATTTGCGTTGGCGAAGGAGCAATATCACACCGACCGACAGTCGTTTCGCACTCTTCGCAATCAATAGGCTGTTCAGCAAAGCTCTTCACAGCGCAGTGTTGTTGTATGAGTCAGAGCAATATTCAAAAACGATGTTTGTCTAATATTTCCTCCCTCACGCGACGCATTCCGAGCGAGTGAACGCAGACGTGTCGCAATGGGCGATTCACTGGCTGTTAATTAAGCCAGCCAAGACGACGGACGGTGTAATAAATTCACCAAAACAACGATTAATATTCAACCTATGATGACTCGATTTTTTGCAGTGAGGAATCCCACTTAGATGGATTTATCAGAAGTGTCTGGCTGCCAGCTTTTTGATGTTGAAGGGCTATTCCGGCACCCATTCCAAGCCCGCACATTGGCTGGCCCCAGCTGCCACTGCGGTTTCCGGGCGCCAGGAAGGTGCGGGCCCAGGCGCTGGGGGATTCCATATTTTCACTAGGTAGGTACGTAACGCATGCCGACAATTGAAATAACAAATATTGCCTGTACAAGACAGAAGAGGCCATACTAGTATCCTTAGAAAATATCTAGAGACAAGTTTGTTACATATTGGTTTATATATGTTTCATAAGTAAACCGTTAAGTCCCCACCCTAACTAACAGAACACCCCCACATATAGGACAGCGCCAAAACTGCGTTTTTTCGTGACTTACTTCCTATATCTATAACTTTATTAATACGTTTTTATACTACTACTATTAAATTAAATATTTTAAAAAATACTATTATACTTAGTATAGCTATATATAATAAGAGTTATATTATTAAAGCTATTAAAGCTATATATAGTAGTAAATCTATCTAATAAGCTTTAAAGCTATAGGGAGTATTATCTTTAACTATTTATTATAGGATAAATAGTAGTTTTATTAGAAATAAGGTATAAATACTAAAATAATACTTCTTATTAAAATAGGAGGTTTATTTTATTAGCTAAGTATTAATATAAGCTATAATAAGCTTTATATTAAACTACTACTATATCTATATTTTTATAATATATATATTATATATTAGTAGTAATATTTAACCCCTTAGTAAGAAGTAAATAGAGGGATTTCTATACTATAACTTATTTTATAAGATAGTAAAAGCTAAGAAGATAGATATAAAGAGGATAAAAAACGTTATAAAAGATATTATAAAGTAGTTCTTTAAAATATTTTAACTTCTAAATATTAAAATAATCTTTATAAGTTTCTAATAGAATATAAATAAAATAGGTATTACTAAAGGTACTTAGAAGGATTATTTAGTAGTAAGATATACTAGTAAACCTTTAGTTTTTATTTAGAGTAATAAAAACTATATTTAGATATTAATTATTAAGTATATCTCTATTATTAGTATATTACTACCCCCCCTTATTATCTTTAAAAAGAAAACTATATAATAATAGTAGTTTCTTAATAATTTTTTTAAATTTAAGTAATAGTAGTTTATATTATTAGTTAATAGTTAGATATTAAATACTATTAGTTTTAAGTAGTTAGATAAAGTATTTATATTAAGAACTACTATAGAGGTAAAGAAGCTATATTCTAAATATCTCTTTATTATTAATAGCTATAGAAGCTATATATCTAATAATTTTATATAGTAATACTATACTAATAATATTTATTTAGTATACTTACTTATATACTTATCTTATATTATATAACTACTTAATATATTAGTTTTCTTATTTCTAAAAGTAGTATATAAATAGTAGCTAATAGAATAAAACTTCTTATTAAATTTAGTATTAATTAGTAAATAGAACTTTTTATAATACTATTTATATATAAGATCTAAAGCTATATAACTTTATATTATTAAAATAGGGTGAGTAGTAATTAGATTATAGCTTATTAATATTATAAAGCTATTAATAAGTAAGTTTATATATAAATTAGCCTTTATAGATATTCTAAAACCCCTTTTATAAAAAGAGAAGAGTATAAATAATTAAAATATTATATTAATACTAAAAAGAGTTATACTTAGAATACTAAAATCCTCTATTAATTTATAGTAGTATAAATAGTTATTTTATAATAGGTTAAAGTTAAGGTTAAAACTTATTAATTTAGTAGTTTATTAATTATTTATATTAAAAGTAGGTAAATATCTTAACTTTAATAATATAGCTAATACTAATAATTAATAGATAATTAAAGTATTATAAGCCTAAGTAGTATTACTATAGCCTTAGAAATATACTAAAGTTAAGCTAAATATAAATAAATACTTTATAATAATTAATTAGATTATTAGGAAGAAATAGGAGGTTTAGAATAATCCTAATAAGCTAGAAGTAATATTATCTAAAAGTAAATCTTCTAATAATAAAGAAAGTATAAAATCATATATTTATATTATAGATTAATTAAGATATTCAGTAATACGTTAAAATATAATTATTATAGTGTGGGTATAAATATATGATTTTTGCTGTCCTATATGTGGGGGTGTTCCGTTAGTTAGGGTAGGGACTTACGGGATCGGTTAGGAATACCTCGAGACGGATGGCGACATTCGAAACCAGGCTCGACAGGTATCATACTTTGCGAAAGGTTACGGGAAAATCAACCGGGTAGTTTTATTGACATGTCCTCATACCATGATCCCGTTCACATTCTCGAACGATGTGAACCTCTAGTATGATTCCATTCTGCCCAATTAGTATAGTTTCCAAGCAAACCAAGCCAAAATCCTAAATCAAAACAGCCACAGCCCCCAACCGGCGGCTGGTCTCGGCGTGGCATAGGGTATCATGAAGCCCCCCAACTGACAGACTCCAGACGCCCGCTTCCGAGTAGCTATACAAAAATGAAAAAGAGTGACGAAGAACCAAATGACAGAAATGCAGCCCCAACCGTTTGGTCCATGATGTTATGCAGGATCAGGCAGACTCGTCGTCTCCCTTGGTGGTGTTGGCAACCTTGATCTGCTCGATGTCCTCGGCCTGGCCTTCCAAGATCTCCATGCTCTTCTTCTCGCGGTTATGAAGTGTCATGATGACAAGAACCAGTCCGAACTGGAGGATGTTGTTGGCCATGACCCAGTACCAGCCGAACTTGAATCGTGGTGCCTGTGCAAACGTTAGTAAAGCCCGGCAGCACAGGAGAGGGACTTTGGAAAGCTTACCTGAGGAGTCGGGAATGTAACAATGTTCAAGCCAGCCAGCAGGGCCTGGCCGACAGCGTTCATCGAAGACACAACCACAGCGCGCTCTTCGGCAGATCGGAAGGTGACCTCAGAAGCCCATGACATGAAGAGAGGGTTCAGTGCACCGCCCAGTCCGGCAACGTAAAAGGCAAAGAACTTGAGGCCTTCGGGAATGTTCCAAGCTGCCATGCAGATCGCACCAATGGTCATGAAGCCGCAAATCCAGATAGAAGGCAGCCAGCGCTTGCCAGTCGCATCAGCCCAGTAGCATCCGATCAGAGCAGCGACGATCGAGATAGCCGATTGGCCGGTGGGCAGGTTGTTGATCTGACTGATGGAGTAGCGATCATCGTGCGCCTTGAGGTAGAGGTTGAAAGGCTGGCCGTTGGTGATCATGGCTTGGTTGAAGACATAGTACAGAGCCACGAAGGCGTACCAGTGCCATCCCTTGAACACGTCGGTGATGGCCTTGCGGTCGAACTTGACCTTGGGGGCCTCGGATCCACCCTCAGACACTCGGCGACGGGCGAGAGTGATTTGGTCGGCCGTCAAGAGCCATGAAGGATGCTTCGAGTCCGGACGAGCGGGGAAGACGGTGAGGCCAAGAATGGCAACGGGAAGCGTGATGCAGCCGCAGACAATGAAGAGCCAACGCCATCCAGCAAGTCCGTTGACACCGTTGAGGTTGGTGTAACAAGCTGTTTGGAAGTACCCGGCAAACATCTAGACCTTGTCAGCACTGAATTTTATCAACACGGTTCGTCTGTGGAGGCCTACAGTTCCCAAAGGTCCGGCGATGTAGAACAAACTAAGTCGCCGGGAAATCTCAGTGCTCTTGTACCAACATCCAATGCAGTAGATCACTCCGGGATATGCCACGCATTCGAATACACCAGAGAAGAACCTGATGATGTAGACATGCTTCACGTCTTTGGCATACGCGGTGAGCAAGGTCAAGATACCCCAAAGGACTTCGAAAGCCGGAATCAGCAGGTTAGGTCTGTCGAACTCGCTTGTCAGCTTAATTCATATCAACTAAACTGCGTCTGTATAAACTCACCGGACACGGGTCAAGATGATGTTGGAAGGAATCATGGCAGCGCAGTAACCAGCTTGGAAGACTCCGGTGGTGTACTGCAGGTCATTGCCTTCCATTCCGATGTCCTCCTTCATTCCGCTGACGTATGCATTTTGAAAAGCCTGAAGGTCGAGGAACTGTACACAAGGTCCGTCAGCAGTGCACTCAGTTGCATGTTGCCAACTGAGAAACTTGCCTTGGTGAAGAACGTGAGACATCCAAAGGTCAGAATCATGAAATCCAGCTTGAACAGCAGAGCCTTCTCCTCCTTGGAAGTGCTGAGTTCGTACCACCTCCACTTGTCATACCATCTGGCAGGGGTCACAGGCTCAGGAGCCGTCGAAGCCACGGTTGAGCCTGCCATTGCGTCTCGGTCTCCGACTGAGTTCGCACGAGGAAGAGACACAAGTCCGAAGTTGTCAGTTGTAATGGTATTTCGTTTGTTTTTCGTTTGTTGTCGACTCCAACTCTGAGGATGCAGGTGGAGCTGAGGGTTGAACAAGGGAGTTGAGGATTGTTGACGGCGGAGCAGTCGGTTGGGGGGCTGCTGCTGCTGCGCTTCAACAAGAACAGGAGCGACGTGAGGAGTGGTGGTGTGATTAGGTATTATACTGCTGCTCCTCTTCATCAAACGCGCGCATTCCCTCGGCTATTCACAGCCGGATTGACATCGACATACCAAGGTCTACGTGTCCGAGCATGGTGTTGCAGCGCCCTCCAGAGGCGAAACGAGATAGGCATCGCCGGACAGAGTTGCTGGAGGGAACGACTCACGAGCGTTTTCCCTCTTGGCCTGCTCCACCACAGTCCACCACCAGGGGATGCTGGCTGAGATACTAGAGATAAGAGGGGGTGTTATGCAGTTACGGCATGATTGGGGGTAAGCGTTGGCGCGGACAAGGATCGGACGAAGCTAAAAGGTGGAGCTCCAGGTGTCAATACCACGCCGTATCTCTGAATCCCCTCGTCCCTTGGTTATCCGTCCTCGCCTCCACCTCTAGCTCGACCCGCTGGGTTTGCGGGGTACAGCGGAGATCTCGCCGCGGTCCTTGTTCAGCTCGGGTGTTGGGATGGTTTAGAGAAGGTTACGAATGCGGCCAACGTGATTTGCTTTCGAAGCAATCGTGCTGGTTTTGGGGGTCCTTCACAAGTGGTCCCGTCCGCGTGGAGCATTGTCCTCATTGTGCAAGATATGTAAACACCGTAGTCCACGTCCAAGTGCACCAGCACCACTGATAGACAGGCGCATTCGGGACGTAGCCAAGCTTTGGCTGGAGGCTCCGAAAAGCTCACAGGAGAGTGAGGCCCTCGGAGGGCGAGTCATTGTGCTTCGAGAGACAGTAGAGCAGTACGATTCCAATAATATGACTGCCGCTTCAGGTGGCTAGACGCTTAGGAGACATCGCCAATACTGAAACCTTTTGAATGAACCCGCCAAATTTCTCTCAACGACTACTCTAATGACTTCCGATACAAGCAATTCCATCCCAGAACTCACCCAATGCGAGCCAACAACAGAGGCGCTTGACTACGTCGACCTCGTGAACCTTGACCTGTCGAAATACGACGATCCCTCAAGTCGTGCACAGCTCGCCAAGGATCTTCTCAAAGGCGTCATTACGCACGGCGTCTTGACTGTGTCCAATCATGGCATCACCGAAGAGCGCTATAATACTCATGTTCACCTCGCCAATGCCTTACTGACTCTTCCGCCTCCAGAAAAGAGGCCATACGAGAATTCGCCGCAAGCGGAGGCCCAGGGTCGGTATGCAGGGTTCAAACCTTCATGCGGTCTAAGCACCAAGGAAGGTTTCCACAAGACAGTTGACCACTACAACATATCAGCCTGGGACCCGGCAAGCCGGTCACACCCGCCATTATTGCGGTCGCGTATGATACAAGTGTCCGAGTTAGTCGATCTCGTTCGACGTCAAGTACTCGAAAAGCTTCTCCGCCTGGTAGCTTTGATCCTGGAGGTACCCATCGAAAGCATCCTATCAACACATGCCTTGTCAAACGAAACGACCGACTACCTCCGCTACATAGTCTACAACCCCCGACCGGCCACCGATGGGAAATACCGAGACTTATACTTGGCTGGGCACACTGATCTCGGTTCTTTCACGTTTACGTTCGCCCAGCCTGTCTCCTCACTCCAGGTCCAGGTATCTCCAGGGGAATGGAAGTGGGTACGCTACATTCCGGGGACGCTAGTCGTCAATGTCGGCGAAGCATTCGAATTGATGACGGGCGGCCTTTTCAAGGCACCGGTTCACCGGATGGTCAAGCCGCCGGAAGATCAGGAAAGAGCCAAGCGACTTGGCCTGATATACTTTGCCCGGCCTGCAGGCACGCAGAGGCTCGAGCCGATTGACAGCCCGGTTCTCCGGAGAATTGGAGTGGACAAGGCATTGGACGAAAAGATTTACACTATGAAGGAGTATCTATATGCGAGAAGGCATGGGTATAAGAGGCTTGACTTTGACCGAGATCGACTGCGACAGGAAGGCTACCACATAGACCGATGTGTACAGGATGCCCAAGGGCTGGAGACTACTAGCATCGCAACTTAAATGCAGAGGAGATGAGTTGGATAAAGACCGACATTTCTCCGCATTAAGACTTTCTTCAAGGGCAGTGTAAACTCCCGTCTCGTATATCTCCAGTTGTTAACTATTCGAAACACCGTCGATGCCGGCATCCTCCACCTTGGCCCACAACTCTGCACCAATGAACCATAACCAAGTTGCCGTCCGCTCCACTCAACGAACTGGACGAACATCGTCAACGTCGTGACTAGCGCCGATGGTTTAGTGGTAAAATTCTCCGTTGCCATCAAGCAGCGTCGGGGAGCCGGGGGTTCGATTCCCCCTCGGCGCAATCTTTTGCTTTTTGGGCTATTCAGGAAGCTGGATGTTGCCGGTAGACCAAGTTCAAGATTCTTGTGACAACTCGTTGGCCTCAGAGATTGCCACTCACCTTTTGTTCGATCATGGAAGTGGTAAGTGTGTCATTATTTCTCTTGTAGTGTCTGTGTATAAACTACTTCTTTGCATCTCGTTCCTTGCAGGCATCTGAGTAAAAGTCCAGACCCGCTTCTCTCCGAACAGCACCGTACATGGAACTACTATCCAGGGGCCTCTCTGCCTCAAATGCTCGGGCAGCTTCCATGTGTCGCAGCGCCGCTTCGCTCGTCTCTAACCTTGTACCCGCATCTTTCGCGCAGTTCAGCGCATGTCTCAAGTCCTTCATGGCTAGCGCGACGTCGAAACCGGCCTTGCCGTCAGGAGGAGGAGCGTAAGCGCCAGAGGTGATGCGTTTGCTGTAACTTTCAAGCACGGGACCAAACATATCCGAGATCATGTTCTCCAGCACTGGCGAGCCAAGCCCAGTCTTTTCGGCAAATACATGGGCCTCGGAGAGCACCTCCATGAAGGAGACCACGACGATATTTCCGGCGATCTTGAGCAAGCTGGACTTTGTGACGTCGGTTCCCATGGGGATCACGGAACGCCCCATGACACCGTTGAGGTAAAGCGAGATGGCTGATGTCGCGGACTCGGGGCCGGCGGTGACGAAGATAAGCTTTCCGGCAGCGGCCATCGCGGCAGCGCCGAAGACCGGTGCTACGGGGAATATCAGCATATGAATTTGGTACAAAGTTTTGGGATTGCACTGTAAACCTACCGGCAACAAATTGACCGCCGGCCTCAGTGATCTGCTTCGAGACATTCGCGGAGGTATCGGGGTGAACCGTTGAGCAGTCAACATAGATCTTGCCTGTGATGTCGCCTGACTTGATAATCTCGCTCGTGGTATCCTGAAGGACAGCGTCGTTGCTCACCTGAGCGCAATCGTTAGCTCGGAATCTCCATTAAGATCCTGGTTCCATCGTGAGAAAACTTACACAGGAGAAGATGATTGATGACTTCTTGGCTACCTCAGAGACCGTCTCAACAGGAATTGCGCCGAGTTCCTTCAGAGTCTCCCCGCGCGACAGCGTGCGATTTGTGTAGACCAGAGGAGGGGCGCCGGAGGACGAGAGGAACTTTTGCAGGTTCGTGGACATACCAATGCCCATCGACCCGAGGCCGACCCAGCCGATTTGTGTTCCAGACATGATGGCACGCGGTGAAAATGGCTTCGTGTGAGCGCAAGATTTGCGGGAAAAGAAACAAAGAGGCCGTGAGTAGTGTGAGGGCGCACCGAAAGCACGCGAAATGTCACCCATTCATACCCAGCTACTCGTTGCCGATTCCGGCGTTGGACACCGAAGTCTCCGGAGGACGCCTCCGAGGGGCTCGGGCCTGGTCCCTGCAGATCTTGCATGGCAACGGCTGAGCTTTTGTGGATGCCGCCGTCAACCCCAAGGTGTGCTCCACGTGGGGAAAGGCTTCATCGAAGGAGCTCCACGTCGCGACGATACCCGTGGAATACTGTCATGTCGTGGATTTGAAAATGGCGAGATAACGATGGGGAAGAGCTCCCGGACAGATTGCCGAGAAGGGCGTTCTTTGAGTTTATTTACCTGGTCGTTGACCAGCCTCGGGTGTCCTCTCCATCTTCCAGTATCAACCAACATCTTCGGACATACGTCATACTTCATACCCTCGATATACCTTACGTCAGTCAATATGAGTTTCGGAAAGCTTTACTGGTACCCCAAGGCGCCTCGTGCGACTCAGTGTCTCTACATCGCCGAGTACAACAAGTAAGACTACATTTATGCAGCACGTACACTAGAAAAGTGCTAACCAGAGTCGCACCCAGGCTCGATATCGAGTTCGTTGAGGCATGGCCCATTAAGGTCGACCCTAGCAAGGGTGGTGTTGGTCAGGCATACTTGGAGAAGTTCCCTCCCGGAAAGGTCCCGGCTCTTGAGCGTCCCGATGGCTTCACATTGTTCGAGTGTATTCCCGTAGCGATCTATCGTGAGTTGCACCAAGCACCGCTCACAAATGACGGCTATCTGACAGAGTCACAGTGGCAAAGCAAGACCCTAACACCAAGCTCTTGGGCTCAACACTCGAGGAGGAGGCGACGATATTGAAGTGGGCTTCTTTCGCTAATAGCGAGCTCCTTCCCCCCATCATGGCGTGGATCAACCCCGTTAAGGCCAAGGAGCCAGCTGCTCCCGAAGTCCTGGCGGCGGCAGAGAAGAACAGCGAGGGTATGGTCAGCGTTGTGGAGAAGGCTTTGACGGGCAAGAAGTTCCTCGTTGGAGACCAGCTCACGATAGCCGACCTTTTCGTTGTCGCAGCTATTGCCAGAGGATACCAGTTTGTGAGTACCATCACTTTCCCGTTCGTCGGCCTGACTTGCCTCCCCCTCGGGAAAGCAGGGGACCGATGTCGGTGATTTCAGTTTCAATTGCTAACCGCAGCGCTGCACAGGTCTTTGCCAAGAAGTGGACGGAAGCGCACCCCGCCATCCACGACTGGTACTGGCGAATCAAGAGCGACGATATCTGGAAGAAGATTGATGGAGAGCCTTACGTTTTGGACGTGGTGGGAGGAAAGCCGATCTGAAGCGAGCCTGGAGGTGGACAAACACAGTTTCCTGAAGAATGTGAATCAGGAAAAGGAACGATAACGCGCCGGCGGCAGCGGGGGCAACGGAGGCTTCTCCGCATCGATAAGAGCGGAGCCGGATATGAGACCCCGAAATCGCATTTATAGAATTCATGATTGGCCAAACACCCCTTGAACTTGACGGGAACAACCGTGTTCAACTTATCTAATCGTTATTGTCCACCTCATTTCTTATCACGTGGGTGGACAAACTTGACCTGAACGAGATATCTCCTTGTTTATCGGATATCCGCGTCCACTCGGTACGTACTCCGAGCCCGGTCTTGTCCACGGAGACCACCCCGGTCGTCCACCTCCTCCCCCAGACTTTGGCAATAATCCATGGCGATGCGTCGTTCCTCATTCTTCACCATCGGCAAGCCACTTTCTACCTTTTTCCAAGATGGATGTCACTTTACCTCGACCGTTCAAATGCGCTACGTGTAAAAAGGGGTTCACGCGCCAGGTAAGCTATGGGCAAGGACAAGGCGTCCGTTACCAGGATGAAGACTTACATGAAGCCGTGTTACGTCACCTGTAGGAGAACCTGAAGCGCCATGTCAATACGCGTAAGCTAAGCTTCGAGTCCTGTATCTTCACTCGTTAACAATCTGTTAGACCACAAGGGACGGAATGCACCTGTGTTTCCATGCTCTCAATGTAATGCCAAGTTCGCGCGTAGGTACGTAAACGCCTTACACACATACGACGAGGATACTTCAGTCCAAGGGTTCCAATTGAGATGCTGACTTTGTCATAGCGACTTGAGGAAACGCCATGTTGAAAATTGCCACGTCTCGACCTCCGCGTCGCCTTCGAAAACAGCTCCCCCGCCTTCCCTGACACCGACGGTCGGAGATTCTCCAAGCACAGCAGCATGGCTGGATGTACTGCTAACGCATCCCCCGCAACCTCAAGGCGACATGCTTGAGCCGATGCAACAGATCAGCCAGAGCTATGAACAGACATCACCGGCGTATGTCCTTTCGGATAGTCTTGTCAATGGAGTCCTTACTGACAAGACTGCTTTCACTCTAGAATTTCCAGTGAAATCCGTTGCGTCGAGAGCTTCTTCGAAGGCTTCCACCGCAACTTCCCGATACTCCACGAGGCCTCTTTTCACATTGTGTCGACCCAGGTACCGCTCCTGAATGTCATCACTTGTATAGGCAGTCTTTATTGCGAATCGACTGTAGATGAAGCGACCCGCAAGGCAGTCTTTGAGTCGACGTTGTCTTCGCTGCAGCAATATGTCAGTGTATTTTTCGAGGCGTAACGGTGGTACATGAGCTTATCCCCGCAGGTGGAACAAAACCGATCGAGATATCAAGAAACATGGGTTTTGCAGACTTTCCTCCTCCTCGAGTTCCTCGGTATTTACGGCGGCAACGACACGAGCTTCCTCAAAGCGCAACGAATACACCGCGACCTGATCGATGCCATTCGACTACTCCAGATGTCGCAAGATAGTTCGATCGAATCTCTTTCCATGACCTCGGGAGAAGATAGCGGCTACGGTGAAGAGGGTGACGAGGACGACATGCAAGAGCCTGTGAGTGCGGAAGCTCTCAACGAGCAGTGGCAAGACTTCATACGAAAGGAGTCAAAAAAGCGTTGCGTGTACATGCTTTATCTCCTGGATTCCCAGCTCGCGATTCTCTGCAATCTCCGACCGATGCTATCATCTCTCGAGATCAAGTACGACCTTCCATGCTGCGAAGACATATGGTTAGCGCGCTCAGACAGAGATTGGTTCGAGAAGAGGCGACAGCGCTTCAAGTCTTTTGACGAACCCGACGATCAAGCCTACGCGCATGAGACGCCTCCAAGTCAGGGCTTCTTCTACGAAGCGTCTCAGACCCTACTTCACGCCAATCGAAACGACGACAGCCAGAGGGGGCCCGGAGAGAAACACAAGCCGAAGAAACTGAGATTGCTATGGGCATCTCCATTCGCTGCCGTCATCTTGGTGACGCAACTACAGATGATGGCTCGCGAGCTTACCCATGCCAGTTGTCTGCTAGAGCGCCCCAAAGCTCAACGGCGCGCCCTGTCTATATTGACCGATAAACAACACGCGCAAATCTCCCAAGCCCTCAAAAGTATTGCCGAGTTGGTACCGCGAAGTCAGAAGCCAGTCTTCAGCTTCTTCGACTTTGGCCGTATGGATGTTCTGTCGGATAGCCATGATGACCAAACGCCTCTGTGGCACACCTTCTGGATATTGTGGTATTACACGTCTATCACTCTATCGCATCCAGACTCTCTGCTGGTTAGTGGAGTAGTAGAGTCTAACCTGCCGTTGGCTATTGCTAGTAAGCGTTGAGTTTTAGAGAGACAGACAGGATGATCGCTAACTATGTGCTAGCTGCCGGTCACTTGGCAACCCCAAGAAGTAAAGACAAGCGGGACATCTATGAGGATCGTGACGTGTTCAGAATAGTAGGTATCTCGAAGCACCCTTTTAAAACCAGATTTCACTAACAACTGGGTAGCTCAATGATCTTGAAATGGCTCTCGATCTTCTAAATCCGATCAAGTCTACTGCCCCTCCTGCCCTCGAGAACCCCTTCATAACACTCCTCGGCTTCAAGATCTGCCTCGTAGGCTGGCGTCTAGTCCGTCTGACAATGCCAGCCGCACAACGCAGTAACGACAACAGCGGAGGCATGATGCTGGGTAACAGCAATAATGGAAGGTCAAACCCAAGTCGCTTTGTGCTGGACGCCATCATGGCTTGCGTTGGAACTGGAGGAGACGATGATGCAGAGAATGCTGCGGCCGCGCTAGCTATGCTGGACAGACCTGTTGATCTTGCGAGGAGCGAAGTGCGCTTTTTGGAATGGATTGTGGCGAACTTTACGAAGCGAACGACATGGCCAGTCGGAAGCTGGGTTGCGGCGGTCATGCATGAGAGTCTAGCAAAAGCGAGGGAGGCGTACGCAGCGCCAATGAGTGAATGATGACAACGCTTTCTACGACACCCAAAGATTTCCTCCGTCGCTCATATCAAAATATGCGCAGTGTGTGACTTTTATGATTTGTACCAGAAACAACGAACTCATGGCAATGTTTCGAGAGTGTTTGAGTCGGGCTCGTAACTCCAGCATCTGGATGACATGCACAGTACAGTACGAGCGACGGGAGCCTGCGAGAGCACACTTCCTTTTTTTCACTGGCTGTTGAAGAAACCGCGACGGCATGTATCAAGGTTTGTTTTCAGAAGTAGCGCGTCGTCAAAGTCTGATGTTTTCAACGATAACACCCCCCATGACCAGAGTGGCAGTGATGCAGCCTCCAATTGGGGACCGAAATGTTGTGAAGATGCTTTGTTTCACAGTGTTCATCATCAAAGTGAACGCGTTGATTCAGATGAAAAAGTTCTCATTAATGCTACAAAATACGCCAAGTCCCATCCAAAGACAAAGTCATACACATTCCACATCCTAAGTTGACTTGACAGTCGGAAGGCTGTACTGAAGACGGGGCACGTTGTCGAACTTTCCGAGACTCTTGTGGCCCTCGGGGTCGGGGTACTCACCCTGAATTACTTGTCAGATTTGTAAGTAGAGAATAGGCTGGTTTGAGACTTACGTCGAAGGGATCCTGGTGCTTGCCCTCCTCGCGAGGACGGTCCATGTCAAAGTCGTATCGCTTCCAGCCGTGCTTGCGGGCATCGAGGTAGTCGGCCATGCAGAAGACACGGTCGTCCATGGGCTTATCGGTACCCATCTTCTGAAGAAGAGGAGAGTTCTCGATAGGAACGAGCTCACGCTCGTCTGCAGGGCGGGAGAAGTAGATGACACCGATACGGCGGAGGTGGCGCTGGTCCTCGGGCGGGGTCGTGACGCGGTGGATAGTAGCCTTAAAGAGACCGCCGGTAAGGCGCTCGAGGGCCTCGCCGAAGTTGACGACGATGCCATGGGGTTGGTCTATGGCGACTGTCAGATGACGGTTCTTGGGTGCTTTCGTGTGGTGACTTACGCTTGACATATCTGTAGCGGCCAGTGTGATGGCAGAGAACCTGAAGAGCGGCGACAGGCTGGGAGAAGAGGAAGGTCCAAGTGCCCCCTGCGTTTTAATGTTAGCGACGCCATGTCCTTGGTCAACACGATTGATAACTCACAGTCAGTGTGGCCAGCCAGGAAGATTTGGCGGTACTTCTCGCTCTCCTCCTTGGTACGAGGCTCGCACATCATCTAGCTTGGGTCAGTCAGGTTCCTGCAAGTACCGACGACAACACTCACGTAGCGGAGATACTCGGTCTTAGATCCTCCGGGGGCATGGGTCGAAAGCACAGCCTCCTCGGGGACTTGGAGAATGTCGGCAACAATCCTCAAAAGCTTCACCAGGATGTTGGTTCTGATGTAGCTCATAACCTCGTATGTCTCCTCCATGAATGGGCGGATGATCTCGGGGTGGTCGCGGTTCTTGGGGTCATGGACCAGCATGTTGTAGTGATCAAGCGCCTTGGGGAAGCCGCCCTTGTGGCCCAGAGGGCCGGCGGGCTTGTATCCTGCGTACAGACCACGGGCGTCCTCTTCAGGAGTAACTTATCATCTGTCAGTATTGCTCCAAGCCAAGAAGGATGCTTCCTCAATGCTTACCTTCATAAGGAGCCTTCTCATCGGGCTTCAGCGTCATTGCCGCGTTGGCGATGCGCATCTGGCGTTGGTAGGTCTCGTCAGAAATGCCATGGTTGGTGAGCGTCAAGAAGCCGTAGCCGGTGGCGGCCTCGTAAAGGTCCTTAGCAAGCTGCTTGCGGCCCTCGGGATCGTCGAATTTGGCGAGATCAATGTTGACAAGGTCGACGTAGTCCACTGCAAAGCGGTCTGTGGTCAGCCTTATCCTTGCAAGTGCAAATGCAAATGCAGTTGGTTCTGTGCAGTCTGGGGTACTCACAGTCCTCCTTGGTAGGGGGAGGCGGTGTGTAAGGCGGAAGCTGGTTGATGTCGGCGACCATATTGGGCAAGCGAAGATGTGTGTGAATCTTGAAAGGATCTTGAAATTGGTATCTGTAGTTCGAAAGTCTTCTTGATCTTTGGATGCTCGACTTGATTGATGATGTGCGTGGTGAGTGAGTGGTTCTTCAGACTTCACTGAGTCGATGAAGTCTTGATTGATATACGACTGAAAGGATACCACGCTTAGAGTATGAAGATGATGTTTTGTCACACACGGTCACAAGAAAGGTCTGCGAACAAGATGCAGGATGTGGTGCGATGCTCCGCGAAACGTCCACAATGGCTCTCAAGTCCTCCGCCTGGCTCAAACGGACGTGGGGCCAGTGGCGGTTCCCAATATCCTTGCAACTCAGCTCTTTCGTCACGGGTTGGTGGATTGGTAGTGCTGCAGCAATGTGGAAAAGGGCGAGTGCCTCCCTCCGGCACGGAGTGGACTGTGGACGTGGAGCTCCTCTGTGCGACGGGCGCGGGGAAGAGGAGCTCCTCCCGGGGCAACGCCCACCTACACGAAGCTTATCCACGCGACTCATTGCCAAGAAGAGGGTTCTCCGGTAAGTGTTTGGCGGGCTAAGCTCCCGATTCTGCCTGAGACTCGGCGAATCGGTGAGTTGGCCGCGGCGGCACCACACTCAATGCGTGAGCACCTGGCCATCAAGATTCAGGCGTGGAGGCTGGGGAGTATTAGGAACGGCAGGTGCAGCCACCTTTACTTGATAATTGCCAAGCACCTATGAAATGGTAACTGCTTATCCTGTTTTCCTGATTGATTTCGCAGCGTAATTACAACATGATTCCTATAGTCTTCAATTGCGTAAAGCCGTAGATCGCGTCTTCTCCCAAGTCCTTCCCGTTGCCACTCTGTCTGTACCCACCGAACGGAAGGGCATGGGAGATCTTGTTGTAACAATTCACCCAAACTGTTCCCGCCTCAAGCTCTTTCGCCATTTTGATTCCCTGCTTGATATCAGACGTGAAGACTGCCGCGGCGAGCCCGTAACAGGTGTCGTGCGCCATTTCCAAAGCTTCCTCCTCGTCACGAAAGGATGCAACTGCCACGACTGGCCCAAAAACCTCTTCTCTTGCAATCCCCATGTCCACTTTGACGTCGCGGAAGATCGTAGGCTCAATAAACCAGCCAGAAGGGCTACGTCCCCCCGTTGCGCAAATGGCGCCTTGAGTCTTCGCGTTTTCGATCATGCCCATGATCTTAGAGTGCTGGCTGCCGCTGATCTGAGGACCCAGAAAGGTTTTGTCGTCGAAGGGATCCCCAAGTTGGTTTTTCCTTGCTCTTTCAACAAACTTGGTGATGAAAGACTCGTAGACGCTTTCATGAACGAAGACGCGGCTACTCGCACAGCAGTTTTGTCTAGGAGAAATAGTCTCTGAGTCAGTAAAATCAAACCAAGGGATTCATAACGACTTACCCCATGTTGTAAAATATGCCGCCATTCACCCACTCGACCACCTCGTCCAGGTCAGCGCTTCCAAATACAATACTTGGCGACTTGCCACCCAGCTCTAAAGTGACCTTCTTCAGGTTGCTATCTGCGGATGCATGCAAGATGCCCTTTCCCACAGCAGTGCTTCCAGTAAAAGATACTTTCGCAACGTCTGGATGATTGGACAATGCAGCTCCGGCTTCGTGTCCAAGACCTGGTACGATATTCACAACACCTGGGGGGAATTCGGCCTCGACAATCAGCTTCCCCAAATACAACGCTGAGAGCGGGGTGAGTTCTGCGGGTTTTAGAACAGCGACGTTTCCAGCAGCCAAGGCAGGCCCGAGTTTCCAACCACACATCAGGATTGGGAAGTTCCACTGAAAGGTCGTTAGACAAGTCCATCGAGTTTTAGAGCTCCCGTGTGCTGGCGGGTCAAGAGAAGTAATCAGCTTACGGGAATAATAAGACCGCAGACCCCTAAAGGCTCTCTCAGGGTGAGGTTCAGCATGTTTGGGTCAGTCTCAATGCTGTCACCCTTAATCTTGTCTGCCCTGAATATTTGAAGATGCGGTGAGTAAACAGAAGCAAAGCCCAGGACAGACCAAAACTGACCATCCCGCATAGTATCGGAAACAGGCCGCACACGCGAGAACATCGGCAACTTTGGCCAGCTTGACAGGTTTTCCAGCATCGATTGACTGCAACGGGAATTTAGTGTTTGGCGAGTTGGTCCAAGGCCTGATAGACACGCACCTCAATCTTTGCCAATTGGTCTGCATCTCTTCCAATAAGATCAGCAAGGCGATTCAGGAGTCTTCCCCTTTCATTAGGTGTCGTCTTCCTCCAACCCCGACATGCTTGCTTTGAGGAAACCACTGCAGCATTGATATCGGCGCTGCTTCCTCGAGAAAACGAGTAAATTGATTGTCGGGTGTAAGGATTGATAGATTCGAGGGTACTACCGTCCTTGGAGGCATGGAATTCATTGTCAATAAAAACACCCGTCGGTTGATCATATGCCGTACCATCCGGCAAGCTGATGCGTGTCTGATATTGAACGGACATTATCGTTACAGTTTCTCGAAGTCTAGTACACTAATTGGGAAAAAAGAATCAGTCAAAACTTTGAATCATGTCGCCGTATGCTCTGTTTTATGAAAAGTCCCACCGCAGCGACTGTTCAACGTCATGTACGTTGAATGATTTCCCACTTCAACCCCTGGGTCAGTAAATCTCCAGCGTCTAGAGCTCTGCGGACTTCCATTCCCGCTCGATCAAGCTGTGGATAAGATTGGCAGACCAGCAGCCCAAGGGACGGCGCGGACTTCCACCTCCGCTTCTGGGCCAGCCCCAAGCCTGATGGAGGCCCACACAGCGAAAGAATCTTGGTTTTATTTCAACCAAGCCGTTTTGAAAAGATTTGTTCAGTTCATATTCAGAAACTTCTCCAAAAGAAAATGCGGCATGTTCTCATTCATAGTGATTCTGCACCTGCAACCCCTTGAACTGGAATGACGTTCCTTCCCGCTTATCCAGCACCTTTTTGTGATGCACATCTTTCACTCGTGCCCGCACATACTCCGTTCCCGATGGCACCGGTTTGCTCAAATCCTTATCTTCTTCTCTGATCAATCCGAGACGGTCAAGAAGCGGGGAAGGTACTGTTCTCATGGGTGTGTGGTCTCCCGGACGACTAAAGTATAGCAGTCCTAGTCGAGGGATGTCGATTTGGTCTCTGGGAGGCTTGACCACACGATGAATGGTTGACTTGATGAACCCTGTCTTCGAGTCAGAAAAGCAAGGAAAGTTGCTAGGGAAAAAGGTTGACTTACCATTCGTGAGGAACGTCAGGGTGTCCGCAGCGTTACAGGTTATGCCCCCTTCGACGGGCTTCACATATTTCCAATCCCCCTCGGGAGTCCGGATTTGCAACCCAGCAACATGCTGAGAGAAAAGAAGAGTCAAACTGCCAAAGTCTGTGTGTCCTCCCTTTGAGTATGCCTGCGCTTTGTCCCACTCTTCGTCCGTCCGAACATTGTAGATCATGTACCGCAAATGATCATCGGAGACTTCATCATAAGCATGTGCATCTGCAAGGTAATTCTCTGGTAGTTCCAGGATGATTGCAATCAGAACGAAGAGCTTCCGAGCAACTTCCCAGACGTCGCGATGGAAGTTGCGGATCTCGTCCCAGTTGTCTTCCACGACACGATGGCGACCAACCTGTGTCCAGGCAGGGATGTCTTTATGGATGTTCAGCTGAGCTCTTGTCAGAAACCTTGTCGTCAAATGGGAATTCTCAGAGAAGCACTGTCTCATACCATCTCAATGTTCTCTTTGACGCCTGTGTCACCAATCCATCTCTCGTTCTCTCTGTATCCGAAATACTCGCCTTCTGCGAAGTTGCAAGGGAATCTTCTCTTCTCATCAAGTGGTTCCTTGAAAAACGTGTTTCCGATACTGAATTGCCGTAGGATACGTTCATCATCGATACCAGTGCCGGTAACGACCCAGAATCCCACTCGCGTGATAGCATCATAAAGTTGTTTCGCGAGATCTTGCTTGCCCCCCGGCTCATCGAACCGCGAAAGATCAATGGTAGTAAGAGGAGCCCAGTCTAGATCCTCTTTAGTCTCTTGGGGGCGTGACCAGGGCTTGACAAGCAATGTGCCAGTTGTAGTTGGCGGCGGTGAAACTGCGGAAGGGGCCATGATAGTGATTAGGATCTGGAATTTGATTGAAATCCAAAAGAACAATGGTCATCAAAATTTATTGAGCCTCATTTATAACTGGATCTTACTCCAGTACTACACCCTCATACTTGAGGTTATTCAGGCGGGGTAGTTAAACGATCGGCCATTGCGTGCTTGGGAACCCCAACAACGTGCTCATCGGGAATAAAAACAGCGTATCACCACAGGCTCATATCGAATCCTTCAAACGATATTTCTCCACCTTTATTGTCCGAAAGCATGCATGAATGATACCGAAATGTGGTGTTGAGTATGGCGTCCAAGATGTCGTTACCGCATCCCAGCCTGAGACGGCAGGGAGCTGCAGCTCATAGTGTCGCTGGCAGTTGGTATTGGACGGGGGAGCTCCTTCGCCATTCCGGTTATCATGTCGTGATGGATTGGAGATTTCTAAAGAAATGATATCGCGATTGGTAACTACCGGCGGGTTGGTAGAACCATCTTCCCTTTCGGATTATGCTTCACATGTTTCTTACTAATGTCTACCGAAGGATTACTCTTCTGTGGAATAAAGTCTGTTCATATTCAAGGCATACAGGACTGCGTTCATTTACTCCCATTTACTCCCAGCCACTGGTACACCAATCCTCTTCCATCAAGATGGCGGTCGCTAAGGACCCGATCGGCACCATTGCTCAGGTTGCCAACGAAACGCAGCTATTTTCTGAGAAGGGAGCTGGATCAACAACCGAAGCGACATCGAACCCTGATATTGAAGCCACCCCAAAGGACGCGGCTTTTGAAAAACGGATAATGCGAAAGATTGACCTCTGGCTTGTTGGCTTTTACTCTCTCGTGTACGTCTTCCGGGTTATTGACAGCGCAAACTATTCGAACGCCGCCATCATCAACCTAGAGGCCGGTACAGGCATCAAGAAACAGCTCGGCTTCACGCCTTCGCAGTGGGCATGGACGCTTTCCATCTTCTCTTACAGCTATCTTATCTTCGAGCCTACCAATACGGTACTTTTAAAGCTGTTCAAGCCGTCAAGATGGATGTTCATCCTGATCATGGCGTGGGGCATATCGGCGTGTTGCTCCGCAGCAGCAACAAACTTCTCAGGCATGATGTGCGTGCGATTCGCAATTGGTGCGGCAGAGGCTGGATTCTTCCCGTCTGTTTTGTTTCACTATGCTTTCTGGTACAGACCTGAGGAAATGGCCTTGCGCATAGCCTTTTTCTACTCCGTGGGACAGGTATCCAGTGCACTCTCTGGTCTGTTGGCGTACGCAATTTCATACATGGACCAACTTGGAGGGGTCTCAGGATGGCGATGGCTGTTCATCCTTGAAGGTTTACCTGCTATAATCCTGGCCTTCTTTGCTTTTGGTCTACCCGACTACCCTGAGTCAGCGAAGATCCTCACCGAGGAGGAAAGGCTCTATGTGAAAGAGAGGCTTGCGAGCACTGCGCCCAAGGGTGGGTCACATTGGGACTTCAAATCTCTGAAAGTCATGGCCAAAGACCCAACCCTCTATACCTTCAGTCTTTGTTGGATCTGCCATGGTATTGGAGGTTTCGGGGTGGGATTCGCATTGCCTACGGTGATCTACCAGTTAGGATTCACCACTACGGCGTACTCTCAGTTGATGAACATCGCAAGTTTCCACCCCAACGAGACCAATTTGCCATGGACTCCACTAATTCTCTTTAGCCGCCATACGTCTCGGCATTTCTACTTCTCAATGCTTTGGGTTTCATGCTGCAGAGGAAGTGGATCAGACCCTGGGTTACTGCAGTGGGGAGTAAGTTTTGAAGACATCTCACAAGACACCAGGAAACTGACTGTCCTAGTTGAATCAACAATCATCGTGTGTTACATCATTCTTCTTCTCGTTGATAACCCGATTGTCCGCTACCTCTGCTTGATCGTCTCTGTGGCCTGCGCTGGGTGTGCGTACCCAGTTATCTGGCCTGAACGAATCAGGGCGCTGGAGGGAACAGTGGCATCAGGAATCGGTATTGGCCTTACAAATGCGTGTGCGCAGTTCGGGTATGTTCGAGCCCTATTTCCAACATTCAACTGGACTACGCTGACTTTGTTCCATAGTGGAATTGTAGGCCCGCATGTCTTCAGCACGGTGTTTGGTCCCAGATACCGCATCTCATATGGCGTCAATCTTTCGGTTTTGGTGGTTGGCATCTGCTCAATTCTGACAAGTTGGTTTCTCGTTATCAAGAAAGATCGGAAACGAGCTGCAGCACTCCAAGGAGAATAGATTTGGAAACGCGTCATTAGATGAGAACTAAGTTGGTTGTCAAAGTACACGCAATTATGCATCTACCCTATCAAGGCGTCTCAAAATCGCGAGGCTCGTCACACTCCTTCAGCCCGACCGCGGTAGGCAATTCAAAACCGGCCTTCCTCTCCCATAACTTCAGACACTCAGTGTAATCCGCACTTTGCTCCACATTGGGCTCCTCTAGAGCCTCCTTGAAAAGCCCATGCATGTGTTTCGCGAGCTGCGTGTCAATGCCCATTTTCCCACACAGTTCAAGGTTGATGCCCAAGTCCTTCACAAGTAGAGCCAACCCATATCCGCTAGCATACGTTCTTGTTAGCCCCTCGGCCCTGATGGAGTGAGCTGTGCCGTAGTTACGGCCAGTGCCAACATTAAGAACGTCCGTGATCTGTGCAGGATCCAAGCCCATCTTGCGACCGACGATGAAAGCGTCGTTAAGAGCTGCGATACCGGCAGCGGTGACGTAGTTGTTGAAAGTTTTCATGACATGGCCGCTACCCAAAGGACCCATAACAAAACGCCATCGAGACATGGTCTTCAAGACGGGCATTGCGAAGTCAATGTCTTCCTGGGCCCCGCCAATCATGAAGGTAGCCTCGCCATCGTTGATCCCGTGCATTCTGACCTGGGTGACTGGAGAGTCCACTAGGCGGAGCTGGTACTTCTCGAGGTCCTTGCCCAGTTGCTGGGTGCCAAAAGGATCCGAAGAGGAAGTGTCAACAATGACACAGCCTAAAACGTCTTCATCAGCAAATCGCTCAACAGAAAGACTGTTGAATATCCTACCAGGCTTCATGTAAGGAGCAATGCCTTGCTCTCCGAGGAGGATGTCTCGGACGATGTGGCCGTTTGGCACCATGGTGATCAACACATCGACGTCCTTGAATGCGTCCGGCCCAGCGCCAGCCTCTTCAACCGGAAGGTTCTTATTTTCAATAACAAACTTTTGTTGCTTCTCCTTGTCCGCATCACGAACAATTGTCTTGAAGCCCTTCTGAGCAACATTCTGAGCCAGCGGCCCGCCAGCGAGCCCCAGGCCAATGTAGCCAACAGATTTTATGGTTGAAGTCATGATGAACAAAGAATAATCAATAGTCAGAGATTTGTGACAAGTCGATAATCGCTTCCGATGATGTAACAGACATTGGACGGATGTCCTTTTCTAGTGAATGGGCATACGGTCGCGTTCTTGAGGCTGGTACGGCCTCGAAACTGGATGAGATCGATACTTTCCCACGGACATCCATTTCCGTCATGCAACTTCTGCACGGAAACATAATGAGAAGAAGTTTGGTGGCGTAAGTGCCTCCGCATGGTTTGAATTGATGAGGAGCTGATGATAAGAGTCTGGCTGCGTATCTGACTGACGGGCATCCGCCTCCGTCTTGTTCAACCCCACCTACATGGTATGCTGTTTGGCCAGGGAGCTTGTGCGCTAACGCACCCCAGATAAGACGACCTCGGGAGTTCGTCTCGCACTTTCAGGGGCTTGGCGATTTAATCCCAGCGAACTGATAAGCCATATTTGTCCTTCAATACAAGAGGAGCCAGTGAAGGCGCAACAGAAGTCAATGACATCGTCAAAATCTTGTAGAGTTCATAAGTTTGCGACTTTTTTTTTTTTTTTCCAATGACAAGACGCAGTCTACAATGGATCCCAAACTCGACATGATGGCGCAGGACAAGCCCCATCCGGAAGAAGCAGGCAATGCCTTGTCAAGCTCGACTCTCATTCCCGATAGTCAGCTCGAAAAGCAAGTCCTCCGAAAGCTGGACTTGCGACTTGCACCACTTTTCGCGACCCTTTACTTTGTAGCGTACCTCGATCGAAGCAATATCGGAAATGCGGCTGTAGCCGGCCTGACCGAAGACCTTGGTCTGTCTGGTTCTCAGTTCAGCACCGCCGTCAGTGTCTTCTTTGCAACGTATGTTGCATTCGAGCTTCCGGTCGTCCTTGCGATGAGGAAGCTTAAGCCACATCGAGCTATTTCTATAATGTGCTTTGGTTGGTCAGTCGTCACAATTGGTACAGCATTCACCAAACGGTTTGGGGACTTGGTGGCTGTTCGTCTTCTCCTGGGCTTGTGTGAAGCAGGCTTCTTTCCTTGCCTTTCTTTGTACATCACGATGGTTTATAAACGGGAAGAGCAGGTACGTGGAAGCCTCAAAGTAAACGTATTGAGAGAGTGCTAACAACCTCGGGACACAGGGTTTGCGATTGGCATACCTCTTCACTTCGGTCTCACTCGCTGGCATGTTCGGAGGGTTGATTGCAACGGCGATTACCAAGATTGGGCACAGCGCAGGGCTTAGAGCTTGGAGGTATGTTTCATGAACATCTCTTCATCCCTTTCGTATCTGATAGGTCGAACTTCAGCTGGCTCTACATTATCGAGGGGCTGATATCCCTACTTGCTGTTACGTGGGTGTGGTTCGGATTGCCGAATGATCCAACCCGAGCGAAGTTTTGGAAACCAGAAGAGAGAGAAGTGATGCTTGCTCGAGAAGCGCAACGACAAGAGTATTTGGGAAGTCAAGTATTTGAATGGAAGGAGGTCTTCAACGCCTTCAAAGACCCTAAAGTCTATTCCACGTTAGTATTCAGCCCCTGTACGTACATCAAATTGCTGACGCTCTTATTTTTCTTGAGTGCTTTGATTCAATTCTTCCAGGACATTATCTTGTATGGGTTCAGTACTTTCCTGCCTTCTATCCTGCGACTTGATCTGGGGTTCACCGCACTTGAGGCACAATATCTCAGCATCCCAGTGTATTTCGTGGGAGGTCTCAGCTTTTTTGTAAGCCGTCCTAGTTCCCCGTGTTGTAAGAGACGTCTATGTGACTAATGGCTGCGTAGACAGCTGCTATTCTTGGAGACAAGTGGAGGCTTCGAGGAACGGTGAGAACTTCAGAAACCCTTCAACTTGATGTTTGGATTGCTGATCTCAGTCGACAAAGTTCCTTCTGGGCCTTGACGTGTTTGCGGTCGTTGGGTATGCGATCCTTCTTGGTGTTGCAAATAGTCCTGGCATCCGATACTTTGCGTGCTACCTCATCGCTATCCCGCTTTACTGCGGACCCGGTCTCAACGAAATCTGTGAGTGTGGTTCCCTCTTTCACTATGGGAAAAGACGACAACTGGTAACGCAGATGAGCTGACGCTTGTGGTTAGGGATCAATAACAACATGGCTCCTCATTACCGGCGAGCCACAGCGATTGGGTTGCAGCAGACTATCGGAAATATTGCCGGCATAGTTGCTCCTCAAGTATATCGTTCAGCGCCTTACCGCTTGGGACATTGGTGCTCACTTGCTTCTGCCATTATTTGTATTGTCCTCATAGCTGGTCAGATATGGTATCTGCGATTGTTGAATCAGAAAAAGGAACGGATCGAGAAGGGAGAATTGAGTGATGACAGAAAGGAGACTACAGGAGAAGGACAGTTGGAATTTCGTTATGTTTACTAGGCTCAGTCGGCATCAGGGGGCATCGACGATAACAGTTCGATAGCAGGTTGCAGCCCCAAATCGCATACGCTCTCACCACTCGGCTATTCATGTTATCTAATGCTAGGGGGTTTGCACCAATAACACAACCTACATCCTGCTCGGGACTCAATGCACCCCTATCTGGTGGCGGCAGCGGACATCCGCCCCCGTCTGTGGGTCTCCAGAACTGGGGAACATCCTGGGAATGGGTCATGTTCCCCGGATAATGCACCCTCCCCGCTCCGCGGAGAGCGTGGCAGTGACGAACGAGATGGCCAAAATAGCGCTTATCTTATCATTCAAGCCCCTCCTCTATCTGACATGGCACTGATGTGTTCGTTCGGGACGCAGCAAAATACTGTCTGTAATAGAATAACGGCTGGAATCTTTGGGTTTTACACGGCGTCTCCCTCCGGACATACTGTTCCTCACGATGAATGAAAGCCCGGAGGCCGATTCAAAGACCCCAATAGGAGAGGTTGTGACTACTTCGTAGGTGGATTGACTTGGTACCATGACTCGTTGACATTTTGTCTGATATCGTGGAATATTAGATGCGAGCGGTGTCGCCGACGAAAGGTACAATAGCACTGCCCGCTAATACCAGTCTCAGCTTGAAATGTGTCTAACACTGCGAGTTTCGAGTTCAGATCAAATGCGACCGTCGAAAGCCATGCGCACGATGTCGAAAGGCCGGAACAGAATGCATGAGGGCGGGCACCGGGGAGAAGCAAAGGTGGGTGGTTTCTTTCCCAAGACCACGGTTGTCTCAACGTCTAGGTCGTGTCTTCTGTTCCTTGCTGAATATAACATGATAACTCTCGAAGGCCTGTGCCTAAGACATATGTCCGCGCACTGGAAGGGCAAGTCGCATCCCTCGAAGTCTTCATCCGAGAGTTAGCAGCGGCAGACTCAGAGCACCGGGAGCGAATGCTGCTTTGCTATGTTGCAACAGGAGAACCGACTGCATCCCAGAATGAACCGGAGATCATCCCAAGTGATCCCAGCGCAAGCATAAGTCACGAGAATTCCAAGTCACCTCAAGAAGCCGATGAAGCCGGGCTAGCTCGCCCAAGAGCTGGCCAGCTAAGAAAACTTGCCAAGGGCAACTCAGCTCATTTTTACGGAGGGACCAGTCTTTTCAACATATACATATGCGATAGAGAGAATCATACATCGCCATGCACTGACTGGTCCATGACAACAACAGTTGCCGACGACATACTCGCCAGCGCTAACGCTGACCAGCCCTCCGAGATCACAAGCCCCCGTAACAGCTGTTTCCAGTACGCACCTCACGATGACGTATCGCAGCGTCTGATGGCCTCCTTCTTCAGGGAGCAATACCCTTACAACATGTACATCTATCGAGAGTACTTTCTTCGCGACTACGATGTTGGGACTGGTCGCTACTATTCCGATTTCCTTCTTTTCGCAATATGCGCCATGGGATCCCTTGCGACTGGCGACCCTCAAGACATACAACTTTTTGATGTGTTTTCTGCTCAGGCTCAACAGCTGCTGTACTCGGCTCTCGACCGGCCTGACCTCACTAGCTTGCAGGCTCTACTTCTTCTCGGTCAATGCGAGATTGGGCGTGGTCGTGCTTCGAAAGGTTGGTTGTTCTGTGGCATGGCATTTCGTTTAGCCCACGAGATGGGTCTACACCTGGACCCGAATAACTGGAACAGAACCTCTGAGCCAGATGTTGATCGAGAGATTTTGCGCCGCGCCTACTGGGCCGCCTTCATTGTCGACAAGCAGCTGAGTCTCTACTTTGGACGACCGCCAGCTCTGTATTTGTATGAATCAGATGTTCGGAATACCGTTAGACTCCCATACCCGCCTGACTGGGAAGGGCTGCTCGACACATATATCGCGCCCGGCCTGTCCGTTACGGCGTTCGAAGACGGGATTGCTCTCGTTGGGGCCTTGATTCATCAAGCTGAACTGTCAAAGATCCAACATAGTATCATTACCGAACTCTTCGAAAATCGTCGGTCGAGAACACACAATGCCAACACCGCTGCAACTGTTCAGAAGATTCATGTCTCCTTGACAAAGTGGCTGGCAAGCCTACCCGGGAAGCTTTACTGGAATCAATGGACAGTTGGTCAAGTCCCAGCGTGTGTCCTTCATCTACAGTGAGTCATGCGTGTCCCTTCAAACCTCTTCTCTGACAAGTCGTAGCATGCGTTTTCATACTGCAATGATAATTCTGCATCGCCCGCCGCGCCACCTTTTGTCGCAGCCAGATGTTGCATCCAGTGAAGATGTGGAAATATGCTATGAGTCGCTACAGGCCATTCTACGTCTACTCAGGAGCTACAATCGGTTTTATCGTTACGACTGCCTGCCGATTGATTTCGTTCACACTCTTGCTACCGCGGCGGGAACCATAATGATGAGACACTATCTAGAAGGAACGCCATGGGATGAGACACAAACTTGTCAAGCATTGACACGCATTCTCGAAGCCATGACTGCTGTCCAGAATGCATGGCCGTGCGTAGGTGAGATTAAAGACAGCATTATTCAAGTAAGCCGGAGAGAGGAAGGGGGCATCCCGGGGGCCGATGCACTTGCAGACTTTACTCTGATGACCGGGCTTTCAGGGCCAGTTGCGGGCAGCGATGTAGATAAGATGTTGCTTTCGGAAGGCGGTATGTTCGATGCTGATGCCGGTTTGCTGGTAACCGATGACTTTCTCGGGGGCACGTTCCCGTGGATCGCGGGTGATTAACAGGGAATCACCAGGCTGTGAAGCACAATAATTAGAAGTTCACGTTAATATCTGAGAGAAGACATGATACTTATCAATACTCCCAGTTTATCGTCAGCTTATCTACTCGACACGTGTATCAGGATGCACTTATAATTCTCGAATTCCTCTGACCAGGATCCGTGGATAACGTTGACTGAATCCGATACCGACACATGGAGTACAGCCTTGACTCACCTCATTCTTCGAGAGACTCGGACAAAGGTCTTTTGACGACTCGCGAGACATATAGAAGCCCATTTCTGTCTCAGGGTAGTTAAGCAACATCTTGCAGCGGTTGCCCTCAATTGGAATCGCACCAAAGTTACTTGATACAGGTCGCTACGTTGAGCAGTATTCGCCTTGGCGAGAATGCCAAAATGATGCATATCAAGATATCTCACCCGTTGTAGCGGCATCAAACACACTACCGAGCACATCCCTGAACTTAACTTCCTTCGCTACGACAGGGGGTCTTGGGCAGGCAAGCTGTTACCTTAGTCAAGTCTGGATGAACATGTGGGTTCTTGCATAAACGGCCTTTCCACAACCACTCTGTCGAACTAACGGCGCGTATTCAAAGTACCCACGACTCATCATTCTAAGTTTCGGTCTCCCCAGAACGCCTCGAGCCTCTCAAGTCGGCCTTCAACTCCGACGCCCGTCTAGATGAGACGTGCATCATTCCCTGGCCCCCAACGAGGATCGTTAGCCCCTACTTCATCAATATCATATGCACGATCAGACTGCCTTGCTGGCGTCCTCTCTCTAGTTGTGAATGGGGTAAATAACTCCTGTTTCCGGCCTTCCCCGCTTGTGCTTAATTTCATGCTTCCCCGTCCTCTGCTCCGCCCACTCTCTGGGTAACGGGGGGTAGTCTATTCAGACATGGTTCTAGAAGTTTGCAACTGAGTCGATGTCTTGAGAAACGCAGCGAAATGTACCCACATTGATCGTTTTCACACCAATAGGCTACTTCTGAATCTAAGCAACCATAAGGTTTGCCTTATCACATCCTGACACCAACGCAGAAGCTGGCCAGAACCACATCAGAAGTTTTCTTCGAAATTAGGGAGGACAAGTCGCAAAGAGACCGTTTGAGAATCATTTCCAGCTAGTGCGCAGATGGCTGGGACGTTGAAAACTGTTTTAGGGTCGGCATGGAAATGCTGCCTTGAGGCTCTGTACCCCTATGCGAGTCGCTCTAATTCATGCACGTGGGCTATGGTTTCCGTGAAAGACACTGAAGTACGAGTCGTGTTTTCACATGATCTACATTAACAGAACTCCTAACGGAGTGGAAGATATAGGTTCCCCTGAGCGTGAGAACAGACTTGCCAGCTGACTCACAGCCACCAGGCCACCCACTGACTCGTCAGTTGCCCGTTCTGAAGGTAATTCAATCAGGGTATCCCAGGCATGATGTTCTTGGTCTCACAGTCTAGAATCTGGGGGGGCCGCCAGCCAACGAAGCTTAGCGCCCAACTTCCTGGTCGTTCATCCCATGTCATTCATCAACGCTCTGTTCCACGTTGTAGATCAATCCCTTCACCAAGCTGCCTTGAGAGCCTCAATTAAGACAGCAGATATAGGATGTTCGGCAATCGCCGGTTGAGCCCTTTTCCAGGGAAATATGGTCGAAGATCATGAGTGCAGTTCATCTGCGTCTCACAAGTATTTCAGCAAATGTTTGAGCGATATGCGTTGAACAGGTCCTTCCGAGAAGTATTTAAGGGCCGTTGAATCTCCAACTTCTCGATACAACATCACTCACCAGCCTTCTCAACATCACAAAACTTACAGTCACTCTTTTTCCAACTCAAAAACCAGTCCCTACCTCTTCGCCAAAATGAAGGTCGCCGCCGTTTTCATCGCCGCTCTCTCCCTCGCCACCTCCGTCGCGGCCGAGGGCTGCTTCCCCTGTTCCGAGCGCAAGGGAGGAGTTGTCGTAAGTGGTTCCCGGTTCTCTACACACCGTGGATTAAGAATGGTACTGACAAGATGAAAGTGCACCACCCCTCCTCCCAACAGCCACGGCTGCGGTCTCTGCTGCGACACCGCTGCCCAATGCCAGCGCTTCGTCGAGCTCGGATACTGCAAATAAGTTATGGATTTGGAAGGAAAACCGTCGAGGAAAGTTAGAAGGGTTCAGGGCTTGGCGCGTAGAAACCGCGATTGCTAGGATACCAAATCGACAGTTGATACCATATTGCCTCCTGGGTGTCCTGCTTGATGTGATGATTGGTGAAAAGATTTATGCCATTTGATTTGATGTATGTCTACGTCTTGCACCCTCATCGACAACGTCAAACACCGTTAGTGGCCCCATTTGAGTGACCATTGGTACCCCTGAGGTGCTCCGTGTTTGATGCAATGCTATCCTCCAACGAGATCCACCCCGGTCTTCCGATCCTCCGCAACAACGACTCGGCGCGAGCGATCGGCTTCACTGTAACAGGGTACTCTTCCCCGTAGAAGTTGTCCGCAAACTTCCTGTCAGGGTTCTGCTTTCTCATGATCTCAAGGATCTGATCCCAGTGCATTGGGAATGCGAAAGCGAAGATACGCTCAGCCCTGACATCCGGAAGAATCGCGGCGGCCAGGTGGAGCGCGGCATCATCCTGTACATCCACGAAGTAATCTTGAAAGGGATTAGGAGGTCAGCCATCTTTGAATAGCAAATGTATGAAGGAAGCATGTGCACTTACGCGGCAGATGCCAGAGCTCACCCAAGCTCTTGCCCTCGAACAAATCTGTCACCAAGCCAAAAGAAGATGTTCCTCCAGCGTTGACAGGGTCGATGCTCCTGCCAAAGTTGAAGTCGGGCACAACTAGATATGGCCCTCGGTTAGCAACACTCTCATTGGCATCGGAGGCATGAGCGGCATCTCACTTGAGTTAACTACAATATCAGGACGTCTCGAGGCGTTGTCCTTGTAGTACTTCCAGATGCTCTGCTCCTGCTCCATCTTGCTTGCGCCGTAGATAGCGCCGCCATGCTCGATGCCCCACGGAGGAGGGGCCCACGCGAGCTCCTTAGCATCATGGCCATAGGTGGTCTCATCAACAGTCTGGCCCTTGAGAGCAAAAAAGTTCTCCTTCTTGAGGGGCATGAGAGTCGAGGCTGACGAAGTCAGGATGAAGCGCTTCATGTTGGGTTCGTTGTAGGCAGCCTCGATGGCGACCATGCCGCACTTGACGGCGCCGCCGATGACTTCAGCCGGATCGCCGTTGAAGTCAATGACAGTGGCGGTGTGCACGAAGGCCGCAGCACCTGGTCAAGATCAGCAACGTTGCTCATTCTAGTTACGAGGCTGGCTTCTTTGCAGCTCACCCTTGACAGCTTCATCATAAGCTCCATCGGCTTGCATGTCAGGCACAATGTGCAGCTCGAACTTCCCCTTGCCATAGGCCTTCTCAAAATGGGGCACAAGCCAGGCGCTCTTTTTCGGGTTCCGGACCGTTCCACGAACGATGTAGCCCGCCTGGATGAACTGGTCGGCGATGTGGGAAGCGATGTAGCCGTTGGCGCCAGTGACGACGACAATGGAACCCTCGGGGATCGCTGGGTTCTCGATGGGCGCCATCTTTCGTCTCAATGTGTCTTGGTGGTGCAATGTGTGTGAGTGTTATGTGCGTCTGTGTGGTTGATGTGAGATCAGATGGCAAGTCGACACCACCAAGAAAACGATCAGCAGAATGATGTGATTATCCAAAGTCAATCGCAAGCCAAAAACGCAGCATCAGATGGGAATCACAAGCCATTATAAATCCGCCACTGGTCTGGGAGACATCGCACTACTGGCGCATCATGATGTCGACCGGCCAGCAGACCGCTCACGATCTCCGTGTAGTGGGTCGGCGACTCGGACTCGACGGGATGCCGCCGAAACTTGAAGCGGAGACCAGTGGGTTTTCTCCGGTCCCTGGAATGGGGCCGCCGGCCGGGGAAATCGAGCATCTAGCGACATGATTCACCACGACTTGCGCGGCTCATGCAGCAAGAGTCATTTTGAGTATGCGGACACGACTGCTGAGGGCCGGCTCAGCAGTCCGTCTAGTCCGTTTGGGTCCACTTCGGCAGCAGAAAACGGGAGTTGAGGGGGCTCGAGTGCATGATGATATGATGATCGGACGGACCGCGTTGAGTTTTCTCAGTACCAAATCATGGCTGGGGTTCACTACTTCTCTGAGCGTGATGTGCAACTCTTTTGAGGAATGTTGTACCGATTCCGGCTGCATCTCCACAAACACCGGGCATCCTTCACCACCCCTCATGATGCTGCACCTCAAACGGTTCGCCCTGCCAGGAAACCCGAGACCGTCCCACTTGAGAGCGGCCCATCCCGGCGCGGAGATTTTGTCCTTTCCGTTGAAATCGGCAAGG